ACGAAGACTAGAGTATAACTAGTAGTAGTAGAATAGTCAGCAGAAGAGCGACAAGGCTCACCGTTGAATGTTTTGGTTTCAACTTTTTCAACTTTTGACCTATCTATGTTTATGTAGAAAAACACAAAGAAAAGTATATAAAAAATTAAAGTAAAGAAGAAGAAGGACTAAAATATAAAGAGAGAAAGAGAAAGAGAAAGAGGAAGAAAGAGCGCACCTTCCTTCCTTCACTCTCTTCATCGCACCTTTTAAAAGAATCCTCCTCACACTCCATTCTTTCTTAAACCCATTTCCCCCACTTGTTTCTCCATTAACAAACAAAAAAGCTTCCAGCTTTCTTCTCAATTTCATTCCAGGTTTGTGTCTTTACCTCTTCTGTGGAATCTCCAGTTTTTGTTTTTGTTTTTGTTTATGTGTCTTATTCTGTTACCAAGTCTTGCTATTTCTTAGGAAAGTTCAATACTCGGTCTGGTCTCTAGCTAGTTTCTTGTATTGAAATTTTCAACGGAGAAGAGTAGAAACAGTCGTTGGCTTGTCTTAGTAGAAAAGTAGTTTCCTTTTTTTTAAAATATATATCGGCTATAATTGCGGTATCTAATTCTGCATAAGAAGAGAGAATCTTATGATTTATTCTCTGTATCAGTTTCTCATCATCAGTTACTTTTCTTAAATTTTCAGGATACTATTATGTGCAGTGGACCAAAGAGCAATCTCTGCTCTTCGAGAATTTTAACTGAAATCGAATCAAGGCAAAAGGAAGAAGATACAATGGTTCTTCTCGAATTCGCCGCTTGTGATGACCTTGACTCGTTCAAGAGAGATGTTGAAGAGAAAGGGCTTGATTTGGATGAGCCAGGGTTATGGTATTGCAGTCGGGTCGGGTCTAGGAAGATGGGTCTTGAAGAGAGAACGCCTTTGATGGTTGCAGCTATGTATGGAAGCTTAAAGGTTTTGACTTTTATTGTTTCCACTGGTAGATCAGATGTGAACAGAGCTTGTGGTCAAGAGAGAGTCACTGCCCTTCATTGTGCTGTTGCTGGCTGTTCTGTGAATTTGATTGAAGTCATCAACGTCTTGGCTGATGCTTCTGCTTTGGTTAGCTCTGTTGATGCTAATGGGAATCAACCTTTGGATGTGTTTGTTCGGGTTTCGAGGTTCGTGGCTAGTCCAAGGAGAAAGGCGGTAGAGATGTTGCTGAGAGGAGGTGCCCTTGGCGGATTGATTGATGAGGCGGTTGAAGAAGAGATCAAGATCGTGTCTAAGTATCCAGCTGATGCGTCTTTACCTGATATCAATGAAGGGGTTTATGGAAGTGATGAGTTTAGGATGTATAGCTTTAAGGTTAAACCTTGTTCCAGGGCTTATTCGCACGACTGGACCGAGTGTGCTTTTGTTCATCCGGGAGAGAACGCGAGGAGAAGAGATCCGAGGAAGTATCCTTACACATGTGTCCCCTGTCCCGAGTTCCGTAAAGGGTCATGCCCAAAAGGAGATTCTTGCGAGTATGCTCACGGTGTTTTCGAGTCGTGGCTTCACCCTGCTCAGTATAAAACCCGGCTTTGTAAAGATGAGACGGGTTGTGCAAGGAAAGTTTGTTTCTTTGCGCATAAACGCGAAGAGATGAGACCCGTTAATGCCTCAACTGGCTCTGCTGTAGCTCAGTCTCCGTTTAGCAGCGTGGAGATGATGCCGGGTCTGTCTCCTCTTGCATATTCGTCAGGGATTTCGACTCCTCCAGTGTCTCCAATGGCTAATGGTGGTCCTTCCTCTCCAAGAAATGGAGGGTCATGGCAGAACAGAGTCAATACTCTTACTCCACCGGCTTTGCAGCTCAATGGCGGAAGCAGATTGAAATCCACATTGAGTGCTAGAGATATCGATATGGAGATGGAGATGGAACTGAGACTCCGCGGTTTTGGCAACAATGTCGAAGAGACTTTCGGGTCTTATGTTTCCTCGCCAAGCAGGAATTCTCAGATGGGCCAAAACATGAACCAACATTATCCCTCTTCCCCGGTAAGGCAACCGCCTCCTCACCACGGGTTTGACTCTTCAGCAGCTGCAGCGGTTGCAGTGATGAAAGCGAGATCATCTGCCTTTGCGAAACGCAGCTTGAGTTTCAAACCGGCTACTCAAGTATCACAACAGTCTAATTTCTCGGACTGGGGATCTCCAAACGGGAAGCTCGAATGGGGAGTGAAAGGAGAGGAGCTGAATAAGATGAGAAGAAGCGTTTCCTTTGGAATCCATGGGAACAACAACAATAACAATAACGTAACAAGAGATTACAGGGACGAGCCAGATGTGTCGTGGGTTAACTCTTTGGTTAAAGACAGTGTGGTGCCAGAGAGAAGCTTTGGGATGAACGAGAGGGTTCGGATTATGTCGTGGGCTGAACAAATGTACAGAGAGAAGGAGCAGACTGTGGCGTAAACACACCAAAAGATGGTTTTGTTATCTTGCTTTTGTGCCATCTCTGCAAATTTAATTCTTTAATTTTTGTGACTTTTCTTGAATTGTTACTGTTAGTATATGGGTTGTAGTCACTAAGATAGAAGTGAATTGGATTAGTTTCTGTATTCTTTGTTTTTTTTTTTAAATCCTCTTTGTAATTTTCAAACTATGAAATGGTAAAGCAATAATAATGTACATTACTTTCCTTCTTCCCAGTACTTCAACAGCTCCACTTTCAGATTAGTGAGTGATAAAGGATTGGCAAAAACAAAGATACCAAATAGCCAAAGCAAACAAGCACAACGCCACCTCAGTTACACTCAATGGGCTTCAAAACAGGCTTTAAGCTCTTGATTGGCTTCAGCCTTCAGAATACTAAACAGAGAGGTACATAACTGGAAAAACTAGTAGCTTCATAACTTTTGATACAAAAGAAAACTACTTGCATCAATTATAGTCTATACCAGACTAACCGATGCCTAAAAACATGTCAAAGATGTTATGGGACTCACGTGTGCCTCAGACACATCGCTACGCACGTAGTAAAGTTCAAGTAAAATCATTATTATAGAGAATAAAGGTGTGGAGTACGTATGATATCCTATGTGTATCTGACTCACTTTATACTATACTAACAAAATCCACAAAGGTTTTTGGGTTGGGTTACTTTGGCTTTGGTTCAAAGCAAAAAGGATTTCAAATATTGAACTAACAACAACTAAAGCCAAATGGAGTCGTAATAAAGTATACAAAATCTACATACATGTAGTTGTACAGGGGTTGATGTAAAATATATGATTGGTAAGGGTTGGTGCCGTATACATACATATTATAGATTTATTGGTGTATGTATGTGTTTCTATAAGATTCCTTAGCCTTTACTTTTCTCAAACAGAAAGCTTCATATGTTATTTGTGAGTTTGTCACCTGTCTTTTTAGTTTTCCTTTAAATTTTTCAAATGGAAACTATATATACATATATATTTATTCTCTTAACGAACACGGATGCATCACCCTCAACATGAGATGGGAAACATGATTGTTACAGAAAAGAAAACGAAATATTAGTTTGGTGCTAGCAATGTTTTAAAAATCGTTAGGCGCTATCTAGTCGGTAGACTAGAGCCTAGCACCTAGACGGTTAAGACGGGATTTAATCGGGGACTAGGCGTTAAAAAATACTAGGAGGAAATTGATAATTTTAAAAAATATAAAGATATATATTATAATTATGTAATGATAACATTAAAATTTGTTGTGGTATAGTGGTCATATTGGGTTCACTCGACGTTTATAACACGAGTTCGAGTGTATCCAATCACAATTTTAGAATTTTCCTACTAAATAACAGGGATAAAACCGTAATTTACCCACAAGTCTTCTTCTTCACCACAAAAACCTAACGGCCGCAGACAATTTGTTTTCTCTTTTTCTTTTGTTTTGTAGGTTTCTTACTTTTAATCCACCATTTTCTTATGTAACTAAGCCCAAATACCTTAGATCTATTGTTACCATACAAATTTTTAACCAAAAAATGATGTTTTAGGTAAAAATAAATTTGGGCCGATTTCTTTAACGCCTTGACCAAAATCGCGGCGGCTTACCTTTCCCATCCGTTTCCTCGGCGCCTGGCCGGCCGAGTAGTCCGATTTTTTGAACCTTGGGTGCTAGTATAGTATTGGATTGGTGATTAGCGAGAGTAAAATTGTGTTCAACATAATATATATGTCAATGTATCACACAACAAGTTTCGAGACAACAACAGATGGTAGCACTATTTTTGGATTAAGACGCAAGATACCGATTGCTTTAAACAATTGGTCTTGGATTATTCATATATAATTTATTGGCAAAACATGTTATTTATTTCACTGCAGAAATATAACACTTAAACATGAATTTACATAAGACGAGAACTTATTATGAATGTTTGGTGGAACATTACACCATGATCTGATCTCTAACATGTCGAATATGAATCATCCCTCCTGAGTCCTGATCTTGTGTGTGTGTTCCAGTTTGAACTGTGAACAATATATTGCCGTTTGCAAAATGTTAAGAGTTTCTAATAATTTGATGATGTAATTTAATTGTAACAGATAATATAACACACACATAATGAAGTTTCCCATTCTTAATAGTGACCAAATTAAACTTGAGATCCAAATTCCACCTAGACATTGTAGTAGACACAAAAAAATATTCATGCAAATTCAGCAACCCACAATTGTTATATTTCTATGGTCCCTTTCTAAATAGGTGGGAGGATTGAGACAAGCTTTTAGAATCTTTGAATCCACTCTTCTCTCCAAACTCTACTTTGCTATAACAACAACTTCAAAATAGATTAGTTATGTTAAGGGAAAAAGAAAAGAGCAGCAACTTAGTTTTTATTTTATTTTCTTCACCTGAAAGCCTTTGAAAACTAGTTCAAGATAAACCCATCCCACCAAACTTATTAATCACAGAAAACTAATTAACGTCAAACCAAATAACAATTTTCACAAAAAATTAAATATTTATTCACCTTTATTCATTGCTCTTATATTTCCTTCGATCTTTCTCCCTCTCTCACAAACATTCTGACATTTTAGAGTGCCTCTAAGAATTTTTTTTTGTTTTTGTTTTTGTTTTTCATTTTTTTCATTTTAAGTTTCAGTTCTTCTCGTTATATATATATTTTATACAAAAAAAAAAAAAAAACAGATGCAACCGTGGAGAAGAAAATTTCCATTGTTTGAAACAGGAGTAACAATGAAACAGAGGAAGAACAGTAACCTCTCTATCTTCGTCGTCGTCTTCTCTGTTTTCCTCTTCGGGATCTTCATGTATAACGAAGACGTCAAATCCATCGCCGAGTTCCCTTTCTCCACCCCTAAACCTAACGACGTACACGAGGACGAGACGAAACCGATCACTACTGAGATCACAACAACACTACCGGTTCAAGAATCGATCAAGAGCTCAGACCCTACAGTTCAAGATTCCGTTGGTAACGCAGACCCGATTCAGGAACCGGTGAAAAACGCAGAGCCGGATCAGGATTCAACGAGAGACGCAGCAGAGCCAGTTCAGGAGGAGACGTCGAAAACAGAGGAAGCGAAGAAGATTGAGCTTTTCTCTGTAACGGAGGATGAAGAAGACGTTGAGTTGCCGCCGGAGGAGTGTGATTTGTTCACCGGAGAATGGGTTTTTGATAACGAGACGCATCCGTTGTATAAAGAGGATCAGTGTGAGTTCTTGACGGCGCAAGTGACTTGCATGAGAAACGGAAGAAAAGATTCTCTGTATCAGAACTGGAGATGGCAACCAAGAGACTGTTCTCTACCAAAGTAAACCGGAAAATGCTCTGTTCTTTTTAACAATTTGGGTTGGTTTAGTCTCTAATTTTTGTTTGATTTGGTGAAGGTTCAAAGCGAAGTTGCTGTTGGAGAAGCTAAGGAACAAGAGAATGATGTTCGTTGGAGATTCACTAAACCGGAACCAATGGGAATCAATGGTTTGCTTGGTTCAATCAGTGGTTCCTCCCGGTCGAAAAAGCTTGAACAAAACCGGTTCTCTATCCGTCTTCCGAGTTGAGGTAACTGAATTGACTAAATTAATTTGTTATTAACTAAGTAATATGATAATGGAGTAGTGGAGTTGCTGAGTTTGAGAGTAGTTAACTAGTTAGGTAATTAAATATTTGTTTGTATGGTTTTGAAAGGATTATAATGCGACGGTGGAGTTTTATTGGGCGCCATTTTTGGTGGAATCGAATTCGGATGATCCAAATATGCATAGTATACTTAACCGTATAATCATGCCTGAGTCCATAGAGAAGCATGGAGTCAACTGGAAAGGAGTTGACTTTCTTGTTTTCAACACTTACATCTGGTGGATGAACACATTCGCCATGAAAGTCCTGTAAGTGTCTATACTACAATACTATTACACCGTACATGTGTTGTCTATTTATATACAAAGTTTGTTAAGTTGAGATTGTGGAATGATTGATGAAAGCAGACGAGGATCGTTCGATAAAGGAGACACTGAGTATGAAGAGATCGAACGGCCAGTAGCGTATAGGAGAGTGATGAGGACTTGGGGAGATTGGGTCGAACGAAATATTGATCCTCTACGTACCACTGTTTTCTTCGCTAGCATGTCTCCTCTTCACATCAAGTAATTAATCTTTCTTCTTCTTTTTTTCTAATAACTTTTTGTTTCTTGCTTGATCACCTAGTTGACATAAATTTTTTAGTTTTACCAGTGAGTGTTAGAGTGACATATATGTGATTCTAAGAACTTAATGCGTACTGACTTCATTCAACAAACCTGCTAAATATTATATGTGAGAGTTAGTAGTAGTAATGTGTTTTCAAACTTTTGATCCTCTCCAAAATGAATTTCAAATATCATTGGTTTTCAAAACACGAAAAGGTTTGAACGAACATTTTGTATTTCTCTGGTTTAAGTTATTGGTAGATTTGTCAAGTAAAGTATATTTTTAATACCTGCGGACGTAACTTGAAAACCAAGTAACTACCAGAAAAATAGATAACAAGTCCTTGTCCATTGAAAAATCCCACATAATATACAAAATTAGCTAAGAAAACATAAAAACTCTCTAATCTTTCGCTTTAACGAGTTGGTGAAACCACCACATTTTTGTGTATCTTTTAAGAAAAAAGTATTAAAACATAATTCAAATTTTACATATATATGATATCTATAGGAGCTTGGATTGGGAGAATCCAGATGGGATAAAGTGCGCGTTGGAGACGACGCCGATCCTAAACATGTCGATGCCCTTCAGCGTAGGAACAGACTACAGGCTGTTTTCAGTAGCGGAAAACGTCACGCACTCTCTTAACGTTCCTGTTTACTTTCTCAACATTACAAAACTCTCCGAGTACCGGAAAGATGCTCACACTTCGGTTCACACCATCCGACAAGGCAAAATGCTGACGCCGGAGCAACAAGCCGATCCAAACACTTACGCAGATTGTATCCATTGGTGTCTTCCCGGTTTACCTGACACGTGGAATGAGTTCCTTTACACACGTATCATTTCCCGTTCGTGACCTATATATAATAAGAAGAACGAACGAACAAAGGAAACCCAAGAAAATGTTTTTGAATCTTTCTTACTTTAATTTTCTTTTTCCTCGAAGTTTTATATTTTGATGTCATAATGTTCATAATTTTTCTTGAATTCATGTAATTGTGAAATGTTTTCTTTAATGGTTATTAGAGTGTCTAGTAGGATGCAATGGAAGGGGATATTTTAACTGTGTTTTGTACTCAATGAGGTGGGTAACAAAGGATGCCAAATGTTTATTTTTTTTTTAATTTTCTACAACTAAGTGAGTAAAACTTGCTCACATGCACTGTTTCTTTAAATGGTCGATCTGTCTGTTCACCGGAAAAAATAAATATAAAGATCAATATGTTTTCGATCTCTTGCTTATTGCTGCTGCTATTCATGATGTGTTGGACTATATTAAGAGTTTTGAATGGTGTTATAACTAGAAGTTAGATCGTTACAAGGAATCTTCCAATAAAACTGTAACAACAGGCTGACAAAACCTTTTGACAAAGAATCAAATGTGTAGGAGAAGAAAGAAGAAAGAAGTTAATTAGTGGTTTGTGGTTGTGGGTTATTAGGAACCGACATTCCAATGTAGCCAACTCCAACAACGAAGAAGGCAACAGACTGCAAGAAAAGATATATGTAAAGGTATGTCTTCCCGAACACAAAGTCATAGTATCCACATACGAATAGATACATCCCAACCATTATCTCTCGCCACCTAAGTCTGCACCAATCCAGAGTACATATATATCAATATCACAGTCACATCATTATAATAACAGACTTTTTGCGCGATAAATTTAGGCGGGAAAAACAATTCAAACCTTTCGGGGAAGCTATAGTGACTAGTACTAGTAGTAGTAATGAGGTTTTGCGTCAGAGTATTACTCTCTCCTAGTTTTTGAGTCACAATCCATTCTTTGACTCTACTAGTCTCTAGCAATCCAATGAGAGTTCCTTTACTCCTATGCATCGCCATTACATTCTCAAATAAGATCCAATACAGTATGAGATAGAAAGACTTCGGTGTTGCTATAGCGTTCAGGATAGTGATGGTAGCTGGAATGTAGATAGTTGTCCATTTCGGGACTTCGATTTCCGGGAATATAACGGTTGCAGGCAAAATCAGACAGTAGAAGACGAATGTGAAGATGTGCACAACAATCTTTCTCAAAAAGAAGAAGTTGTATATCAAATACGCCTTCTTCCATAAAGACACATTCTGTTTCAAACATGTAACACAAAAACAATAAAGGTCATTGAACCATACTTGTGCCAAAGTAATCATATTTTGGGGTATATGTAATTTATCAACCTGGTGTTTTATGATCTCCATTGCCATTTTCTTGAAGAGGTTTGCTGGACCACAAGACCAACGATGTTGCTGATACCGGTATGCTTGAAATGAGCTTGGAAGCTCATTTTTCACCTGTATTAAAAGGCCCATGGTTATTTAAGATAATATTAGTACAAGTTGAGTCATTGCCTTTCATTTGATAATTTCTTGATTACAAACCTTAACATCGTCGAGATACACAAACTTTGAGCCGCGTAAATAAGCTCTAACTGCTAAATCCATGTCCTCTACGATGGTGCGTTCCTTCCATCCTTCGGCCTCATTAAGAGCTTTAATTCTCCACACACCAGCAGTACCTGAAGTCAACGGCTGTTCCTTTATTCACTCAAACTAAGATCATATAATACAAAATACACAAGAGCATCTAAATGGATGCTCCACCGTTGAATCCAAAGAAACCAAGTATGGAGGATCCAGACTTTTGCTCCACTGCAAAGTGGTAGTTAAGAGACATCTCTTGTATTCTTGTCATACAACACTCGTCCGCATTCCCTGTCACGCGCACACAAGCAAAATCGATTTAACAAATTGCGGTTCTTTATCTAACTAGAAAGTGAAGAAGAAAGATCTAACCATATTTCCAGCCGGCTTGTACAAGAGCTATCTCAGGGTTGTGGACAAGAAAAGGAACAGTACGTTCAAGAAAATCCGATTCAGGCTGAAAATCAGCATCAAAGATTACAACGAAGTCGCATCCCTCCGCATAACTATGCTTCATTCCTGCAGTGAGAGCTCCTGCTTTGTACCCGTCTCTACCGCTTCTAACCTCCAACTTTATGTCTATACCTTCGCTCGACCATTTCTTACACTCCAATCTAACCAGTTTCTATTTTATTTCAGAAGAAAAATAACATTTCTTCATACATACTGTAACAACCGAGGCTGAGACAAAGGATAAAAGCACATCCAAATGAGCTCAAGAAGGGTTTAAGGAAAGAACCTGACTTTCTTTTTCGGTTGAATCATCAAGAACTTGAACGATCATCCGATCCAATGGCCATGATAGCTTGCAAACCGCTCCTATCGAAAGTTGGCATACCTGTTAAAAAGAATGTCACTTGTGAAACAGAGCTCTCTGTTTTATTAAACAGAGCTCTCTGTTTTTTTTGTGTGTGTGTGTGTGTCAAAGTAAGTCACCTCTTTTTCGTTGAAGATTGGGATCTGAATGAGAACCATGGGATGATTGCTGGAAGGAGCTAGCTCAACGTCGTCATCGTTCTTAAAGCTTTCCCATTTGAGAACTTTCTTTGGTGTTCGTCTAAGTAATTTGCCAATGGCTACAACTATAGCCATATATGCTGCATCTATGAACAACAACACAGAGATAACCTGACATAGATTCACCATACGTTTCAGTATGGGAACGAGGAAGATGAACCTGGTTTGCTCTAATACGTATCCAATCACTCCCAACACGCTCAAGGCGTCGAATAATCCATCAGAAGATGTCGCCATTACAGATACTTTTGACCCCACGACACAAACACAGAAGAGACAATCTGGCTCGAGAGTATATAAGCAGAAGAAGCCAAGAGAAGACTTAGTGAAATAAGCTTCAGGAAGATCCGACATTCGTTTGTCTTTCCTACCATCTCTGTCTTTGATTTAGTAAAAGAAGTCTTTTGTTTATTTGATTTAAATATTCTAAGCGAGACATCAGTAGACATGTGTAGTCGTGGATCATGATCATAAAAAAAATAATAAAATATGGTTTATGTTTGAGCTGGAATTGGTTGTGTCCACATTGCATTTACACCATGTCTTAGTGTTAATGTTCGATAATTATCATATACTAATGGCACATTTCTCTGACTTGGGTTTAATTTACAATTGTCTAATCAAACGAGACTACTAGTAGTAATCGTTGCATAGTTGGACCGATTAAGTGAAAGGTGCTTTTTGTGAGTATTTTAAAATGCTCACTAAAATCAATTATCATCATACAATTAAGAAACTTATCCATCTAAATTGCTTACATACGATGGAATTGGTTATATTTGGTACAAAAAACATGTTCGAATGGGTTACTACTAAAGACGAAGAGGTTTAGGTTGTCGAAAGAAAAAGCAAAGAAACAGTTTAGATGGGTCCTTTCATCAATGCAGACCGATTTAATCACATTCAACTACAAAAGTCTATGGTTTTAGTGGACCAATTCTTTATATTTGTTTTTTTCAGGGGAAACTCTTTTTTTACGTATTAACATATTGTTCGATAGTAGTAGTAACTTGTAGTATCAAAAATTAGTCAAAGAGGGTGAAACCAAAATTTTCATTAGAGAGAAAACGTGGTTTTCACGCGCTTTAAGAGCGAGTGGGGGAATTTTGAATCATCGAGAGAACCCAATCTTTGGGATTTCTTCTATGCTTAGCTTCACTACCACACAGAAACAGAGCTTCTCCTTTTCGCTTCTCGTCTCATTCATCCATCTTCCTCCTTATGCGTCACTCTTAAAAACCTTACGATTTCGCTATGTCCGTCGCTCTTAACGCCGGCTTCAGTTCTCCGGTATGTATTTTGCTTTCTTCTTCTTTTGATGAGGCCATATCTAAGATTCTCCTACTCCTTTGATTGCTCTAGAACCACTTTCAATTGAGATGAATTCGCATGATTATAATTTGTTCATTTGTTTCTGAAAGTTCGAAACTTTCTCGTTTCCTTGGAGATTCCTCGTGCTGGGTTTTATTTGTTTTAGCCTTTACATTTTGGAACAAGTCTACAGTTTAAATTTTCTCCTTAGATTGGTTTCTCTCATATGGATTCAAAAAGCTCAATACTTTGCTTCTTATTTTGCTGATATTAACAAAAATCTTATCTCTTTTGAAGCTTCATAACAGATCCCATCATGTTATAACGTTAAAGCCTTCACCTTTTCTTCCCATCATCTCTCTAAATGGTTCAAGGAGGTTACTTTTAAGCAGAAGAAGATTGGTTTTATCTTGTGTTGATTCAAACGACAATTCTAGCACAACAACATCTGTTGATTCTCCTTCTTCAGATTCTAGTAAACCAGCAAGTGAATCCGTTGAATCAGGCAACGGCTCAGCCAAAAAAGCACCATTGACAGCACGGGAGAGATTGAGAGCAGCTCGGGTGCTTAGCCGATACACGGAAGCAACGCCCAAACCTTCAAAACCCAAAATGGGAAGCCAACTCCTTGATGTGCTCAAGGAGAGTGATAAGAAAACAAAGAGGAAACCGGGTCTTCCCGAAGCACCAACCAACATGCTTGATGATAGCAGGAGAGGGATGCCAAAGAGCGGCCTTACCTTTGATTTACCAGGAGGCTCGGATATTCTCATCATTGCTTTCTCCTTTGTCTTCATAAGCACTGTGATGTTTGCTACTACTTTTCTTGTTTGGAAACTCGGTGCCATACACTTCAACGAATAGGATCTTGACAAGTTTAATAGAAGTTGGAAACCATCAAGCAGAGAACGAGAGAGAGAGGGTTTTGTCAGAGTGTTAGTTGAAAATGCATACTTGGGAATGTTTATCATTTGGCAAAGCCGGCTTGAGTGTATATACATATACTGTGTAGTACACATAATTTTGCTATTGAGTCTCGTCATGCTTGATTTGCACTTGTAATATTTACATTCTAATTTTTTTTCTATAAAACAGCTACAGAAATGGATTCTCTAGACCAAAAACAGCCAGTGTAACCCTTTTGTCTGCACACCTAACGCCAGAAAGAAATCTGCAAAGATGTATAAGGTTATACATGTGGTAAGGTTAGCTAAAATGGATACTTGGGAGTTGGGAATGTTCATCATTTGGCAAAACCAGTTTGAGTAGTACATATATTTTGCTACTAACACTCTGTCCTTCTTCATACTTCGTTTCCAATTTTGATCTTTACATTGTAATTTCATCCTTATAAAACAGCCATAGATAGACTAGAACAACCTATGTAAGGCATATGTTTGAGCCCCTCTCAAATACATATCAGATTATAGGGAGTAAAAATCAAAAAACCATATTGAGAACTGGAAGAATCGTGCATGCTTTACTAGTTGAACGAATTAATCAGGAATCCTAAAACACAACATATCTAAATGTCATGAAATTGACGGTTACATTTTCATCAGTAACACTTTCAACTTTGTAAGATGATCACAAGCAAGGGCGAGCAATGGGCTTTGGCTATAGTAGTAATGTTCTGATTTAAAACTGTGAGTGAGAAAGGTTACTATCTCTTAAGGTATTTGGACAAAACTAACTAAATGTTAAGTTTTAGATAAGCTCTAAGCTAAAACAATCATCAAACAAATGAGATGATATGGTTCAGTAAGCTGACATGTAATACTTAATCTTCTACCATAAACACAGATTTGATGCAAGAGAAACATCCCAACCAGCAAAATAAGAGATGCGTTTGATCAATAAAGAAAGCAGTTCAGAAACTTAATCCAAGACAAGATCTACTATGAGCATGTGAAAACTGTAATTCTAACATAAGCACAAGAACTTGGTAATCAGAAATGACTGCAGACCAGATGATATTCACAACTGATCGTTCTCGGATCACTAATTCTAATAATTCTACAGTATTCACAAATGTTAAGATTAACTAATAGCTAGTATGGAGACAAAATAAGCTAGAGAGAAATATTAAATCGCAAGTTAAAAGACAAAGGAAGATAAAGCTTAACGTTAATTGAAAATCCATTAATCCAGCAGCAAAAACTTGTAACTTCATACAACAAAAGTAGTAGTATCAAATTACGGAAAAACAAAACTGAAGCAAACGAAACACAAATGGAGAGGGGGGAGAGCGAAAGACTTGTGGAGTAGAGTGGTCTATTTAGATCGCTGTCTCATCTTTCGTCTCTTCCTCTTTAACCTCCTCATACGCTTCTTCTTCCACTGAACCAACAAAAAAATAAAACCAGATCCACAATTAATAATTCTTCATTTAGAACGGAAATGACTAAACTTGGCTCCAAATGGGGCAGATGAATCAGACAATGAACACAGGAAGACTAGAAGATCACAAAATACCTTAGCTCTCATCACTCCTTTTTGCTCAAAACCCTAATCCTGGTGAGAGTGACAAAAGACGATGAAAGATCGGATATATATTCTACAAACCCTAGACATTGAAACGAGACCAATATACAAGTAGGCTTTTCCTATTGGGCTTTTAAGGCCCATATTATATTCTCCCGAAATAAGTTTAACCCAGTTACCTCAACCTCAAGTCCACCGTATCTTAAGTAAACTCTCATTCTTCATTTCTAAAGTTCCGGCTTAAACCCCGACGATGTCTCTTCTCCGGCGATTCGTTAAAAAGGCAAACGATTACAGATTCCTCCTTCAATCGAACTCTGGACGTTCATTCTCTACCGTAAATCCCAATCCATTTGCTTCACCTGGTCGTCGCACTACCGCCGAATTCGATAACCTCATCTACGAAGCCGGGAACTCCGGCGACTTCGAAGCGGTACGCCGTCTGCTCAACACCCGCGTCGTAAACGCTTGTTTCAACACAAGCGCAACATTCAAATTCCTAACAAACACCGACTCTTACGCCCCCTCCTTAGAAGATCTCCGCCGTATTTTGCCTCAGACCGACGCCGGCTACACGCGTAAACATGCTTACGAAACTCTCATCGCGCGCCTCTGCAAACTGAACCGGATCGACGATGCTCTGATCCTGATTAACGATATGGCGATCGGAAAATTCGAACTCTCAACCTCCACATTTCATCCGATATTAAACACGCTCACGAAGAAGAACAAGATCGAGAAAGCTTGGCGCGTGGTGGAATTGATGAGATCTCAAGAGCTTTCGATGGACGTGACGTCATACAATTACTTTTTAACTTCGCATTGTTACGACGGCGACGTGGCGGAGGCGAGCAAGGTGTTGAGGAAGATGGAGGAAGAAGAGGGAAGGGTTATGTCACCGGACACGCGTACTTACGACGCGCTTGTGTTAGGCGCGTGTAAATCGGGGAAGGTGGAAGCGGCAATGGCGATACTGAGGAGGATGGATGAACAGGGGTTGCCGGTACTGTACGCCACGCATGCGCACGTTATTGGAGTGATGGTGGAGAGTGGCTATTATACGCTGAGCGTTGAGTTTGTGATGGCGTACGCCGGGAAAGATAAGAGATTGGATGAAGAGAACTTGGGGAGTTTGGCTAGCAAGCTTATCAAGAGGAAGAGGTTTAATGAAGCTAAGTTGGTTTTGAAGGAGATGAGTGTTAGAGGATTGAGGATGGGTGATGCTTTACGTGGTTTTTATGAGACCAATGTGATAAAGTCCTGATTTTGATTCTATTAGAAGATGATCACCATTTTTACAGAGAGCAAAACTCGAGTGATACAGAAAAAAATTGAACTTCTTACAGAAGGTAAATGTAATAAAGAGAGTGTAAGTGTAGCTGTGTAGAAATGAGCTTTTTGCAAAATATCTCATCCGGAAGCTAAAGGTCCATGATTATACAAATGAATCTGTATGTATTTGTGGCTTCAAGTTGAAGAGTTCCTGTGCAAGTATGAATTTATGGATTTTACTGTTCTTAAGCTTTTTACATGAAGGAGAACTTATCAGATAAGATGGTGAACTGTTTTGTTTAATTTACAAAGGAGCAACATTTACAGCAACGTACACGTCTCTAGTTTTATTTTCAAGGACAAAGAGAGGTTATTTACTTTTTCTACTTTTTTTGGGGGGGAATGAGTTAGTTTTGTGCAACCTCTACTTGTTGAAGATGAATGTGTGATCCATTCAGCTGATAGTCCCAATACCAGCTTCCTGTTTCCAATACCTCTTCTTTCATTGCTTCTAAGTTGATGCTTAAACCTAAATCCAACACCAAATAATGCAATCAATCCATACTAGTGTCAAATTAGTTTGGTTTCTTATCTGTTCTAGCTTTTTATAAGATTCACTGACCTGCATTTCCTTGCGTAATCTTCAGTATGTGACCATCCGGTACTTCAAAAACATGGTTTCCCTGCAAAAAGAATATAGATCAATTGGTTTGAAGCAGACACTCTAATCCATGACAAACTTCCGTGCTACTTTACTTTACCTCTACAGTTACATTGCTAGCTTCGAATTCTGCATTTCCGTGCAATATGATTTTACATGTTTCAAGCCGGTTCACATCGTTTCTCCAGTAAACATTTGATTTACTGTTCCAATCGATTCCTCGGTTCACTACCTTGACGTTATGCAGTTTACACTTGCCACACCTACAAATCAAGTTTTATGTGTGAATTCACAAATGCAAACAGATAGACATGTATCTCACAGAGATAATCTAATCTAGTACATGATTCTTTTCTACCTTAATCCGTATTGTAATATTTGTTCACCATGATCATTGATAGTTGTTGAACCCATGGCATTTTCAGCAGTGACGATCAAGCTACCATCAACCTATAGGGAGAGAAGGTGACTTAGAATTTAAGTAACTCAGCGCGATGGAAGCTATGCGAAATCTTGTTGGCAGAATAAAGATATTGAGAACCTGAACATTGTTCCATGACAACTCTGCAATCTCGAGTTGCACTTCTGAGCAACTGGAAATGGACCCTCCCATGAACTGTTACGACGATCAGATAAGATTCATCATAATAAACCATTTGTTAGACTTTCTCAACCAGGAAAAAAAATCAGACTATTGACTTACTTTTTGTCTTGAAACCTCCCAAAGAGGACCGAGAGCAGGATGCAGAAGAATGAGATACGGAGGTGGGGAATCCACATAGTTATCATTAGGTTGAATCTGGAGAAGTAGAATGAATTAGTTAACTCTCAGTTTGAAGTTGTTACTGATAAGATTAACACTGGCATGTAACATATCTTCATGGGTCTGAAATATCAGTAGTAATTAAAACAAGTCATATAAAATATATGTATCTATGAACTTACCATGGGAAGTTTAATATCACATTCTGTAAGGAGCTCATATGCATTGCGTAGTATATCCAACAATGCACCATCTGGAGTCTGTAAAGAAAGAGATCAGTCTCAAAATTAGTTAAACTCTGAATATAATTCAATTGATACCAAAAGAATGCAATGGTATAAGAAATATTACCTGGTGCAAAGCAGCACTTGCGTGTGGTTTCTTCTTCTTAGCTGAAGAGGTGACCTTTCTTCGTTCATTGTAAACAATATACGTATCCAGTTTATCTAGTAAGATAAAATTAAGAGTTAGTGATACCTAAAGACAGATACATTAAACATTGCAAGACAGATACATCGAATAAATTTACCTTCTAGATTGCCCTGGCATCTAGATGGAAACTTATTTAAGAAATTGTCTGCTATGTTTTGCATTGTGCATTCCAGTCGACCACCCAAAACGCTGTCCAGTAAGTAAAGTAATAAAAAAATTGCTAACAATTAAAGAAGAAACTCCTAAAATTTATCTAAAGTAGACATTTCAAACTAAGAGAGTGACTGTTGATTCCATACAGAAAAAAAAAAAAAACAGGAATCAGTATGAATTCCATTTTAGCTATAAGCAGCAGTTACGATTTGACTGAGGCATCTAGATAGAAACAAAGAATCACAATAAGAATTGTGACCTATAACAAGGGAACAGAAGATCAATATTAGGAAATACAAACCTGTGATAGTCTCCATACTGATCAATGTACTCAATTCGCTTCTTTGTATTAAGAACCATATTTGGCAAACTTTTTGCATTACGGCTCGACCCAATTGACTCGGCAGAATGTAAGTCAACATATAGAATGTTTGTATTGGCAGGGAAATCCGCCTGCAAACTTCAGAAGTAAAAAAGAATAATGATTTAATCTTGCAGTCTGAGCTGAAGAATTATATAAGTATTGAAGAATTACACTGATAAAAAGCACTAGAATTTTAACCAGAGAACCAAAAAGAATAACTAACACTATAGACAAATAACAAAAGAGGAGAAAAAAATTCAACACATTTGTCAGCTAGAATAGAGATACTATGAGTCAGTTCTCGAATATATGCACCTTACGCAAGAACAAACTCAATGATAGAAATATCATACCCATTTGAAGAAGGAGACCTGTTGGAGACTCCAAATTTATCAAATTCGGTGTACTCAATGCACGATATACCATATTCCCACTTCCCATCAAAATTCTTCTTCTCCATCAATACATTAATCCCTTCGGTTGCTCCAGCATTTCTTTTACAGGATGCAAACCCAAGTTTCTGGCACATTAAATAAATCATGGTCTGTGGGAATCAATCGTTTGGAAGTCCAGAAAAGATGTTCCTTTTTCTTGAGGTAGAGAGATGAATACATGGTATATGATCTCAACTAGTATGCAAGTATACCTTATTATACCGTAAGCCAATCCCAGCAAGGGCCAAGAGGGTAACATCTGTGGCAGCCACAACATTGCTGCAATATCACAATTATAAACACTAAATCCAGATAGTTCTGAGTTTATTTTAATGAGCAACTTCAAAAGGGTACAAGTAACTAACCTAACTTGCCGAATGGTTGCTCCCTTTCTTCCATGATTAAAAAACCATTTAAAGACACCTTTGTCATAAGCCAATTTCCAAATTGCACCATGACCACCAGGTTTACTAACTGGCACAAAGGGCTTTGATACTATCCATTGACCATCTTCAGCACTGACAGCTGGGACGAGAGGCTAGAGATCAAAAACCACATACCATTGATTATGAGTATTAATACTCAATATGAAGTTGTTAAATTAAAAGGTAAAAGAAATCAGAAGAAAATGTATGTCTCCGATACCTGTTCAAAGAGACGGAAACTTGATTCACCTCTTCCAAACCATTTGAGCCGTTTACAAAGCGAAGTTACATGCTCATGGTTGTTCTTTGCAGCACTTGTCATAATGGCAACAGGTGTGACACATTGCTTTCCATAAAGCTTGAAGTAAAGGAACTCTCTAGCCTAGCAATTAACAAAAAAGATTCATAACATGACTAATGCACAAAACAACAAACAGTTGTTCATACCTCACATTTTCCCTTTCGTTCTTTCAAACACAGAGACACAAAGAGTCACTCTAGTAATTAGTGAATATGTACCTGAAGATCTCTAATAAGTCCCTCCAACAAAGTTCGTCCACAATGGGCAAGCATTGCTGCAGGAAGGCATTCTCCTGTTTCTGTATCAACCAACCCTAATCTGTCTGCTGCACCTCCTAAGGGATATATTTCACCTAAGTCTGGCAATCCCTAATATTAACAACAACTTATCATCTAGAAACCATACACAACAAATTCCGTAAAAGTTCAAAAGCAATAACACATTAGTAACCTCAATTCCCCATAGAGCCGCCTGCGAGGCATACTCCTTCCTCTGAGTGAGGTCAAGGACACTTGGAGTATGCATTTCTAAGTACTGGCAACCCAAGGATTCTTCAACAAGATGTGACCGGTTAGCATTACGCCTCTTGGTTGATTGGTGAAGAAGCTCTAGAACCATAACCTGATATCTGACACACAATCATGAATGTCTCAGCAGTGAATATATCCCAAGGCATCCTCGTAAGATTTCATCTAATTCCTGTACTAAACCAAGTTAAGAATTGGTACCCGATAATTCCTCCAATGCAGTCGTAGAACTGTTCAATTTCATCCAGAAACCTCAAGAACTTTCTAAAGCGAGCAATCTCCTCTGCATCTAAAACTGTACCCATCTCTCGTCTACCTTTATAGCCGCTACTATTAACATCAAATCGCTCAATCATCTCAACCAACGCGTAAAGTGCGTTCTTCACCGAACTTCTCACTGTATACTCCTCTTCTTCTTCAAATGCTTCCCCATAATTCATACATAGCGCGTGTTCCTGCCCCGCCGCGATCACACACTTAACGAGAAACATGTCTTTCGAATTCAAACCAAGTGAACCTAAAACCTTAGCTAAACCGCCTCGATTCTCGCTGAAGAATCGACGAACTCTGGAATCAGCGTCGATAACCGCGTCCTTCCGCCGTAAGTCCTTGGAAACGTCTAGTTTCGCTAGGAGAGACTTGAGCCGATCGATTTCGGATAAGAAATCGTCGGATTCGGGAGGAGTCGGAGTGGAATACTCAACAGGCACGGTGGACACGTGTCTCACCTGGTGGTTATTACATTGCTGCTCGCTCTGCGGAAACTTCGAGAACAATGAAGAAGAAGGGAGAAAGAGCAGAGGCTTTCTGAAATGCAGAGAGGTGAAAGAAGAAGGAGACGTAGAAGTAGCGCGGAAGTGGAAGAGAGAGACGTGATTCTGGTAAATAGGAGAAGCTTGAGGATTAGCCATGGCGGGTGAGATGGTTACAGAAGGAGGAGGAGGAGAAGGGAGGGGTTTTGAAGAGAACCCCAAGGAGGGATAAGGAGATATACTCCAAGCATATACCCAGATTGCTTCTTTTACTGTACGATTGCTTCTTTTATTTTTTTTTGGGCTTCGTTTGCTTTTCTTTTTTTGTGGAAAATAAAAATTATATAATCCAACCAGCTTCGAAGGATTTGATTGTGTAGATGATGTGTGATTGTCGTGTGTTTGTAATCTGTAATCTGACGGCTTAGACGACACCGTTTTGGATTACACCGATGGGCCATCTTCATTTGTTCATGTCGACTGCTCCCAACATTTTTCATGTTCTTTTTTTTTTTTTTTTTGTCATCTATGTTCTTTTTTTTTTTTTTTTTTTGTCATCCATGTTCTTTTTTTTTCTTTCATTTTTAACATATTTTATGACTCTCAAAGTAGTCAGTAATTCAGTATTGTTATGACGTTTTCGGGTGTGTTATCGCTTGTCAGTATAATTGCTACCATTTTCATAAAGAATTGCCAAATCAAAGCACATTTGTCAATATTATGTTCTTACAAGTGTGCATATGAAGTTATGTTTGATCATTAGTTACGATATCTCTTTCATGTGGTTTAGTATTATTAACTACGATACCTTTGCATGTGGTATATAGGAGATGGAGTGTTAATATGTGTCAAATAATCAGCAAATAAATCGATTATTCAATTGTGCATTGATTTCGATTCTGAATAATGCAATCATGGAGTATCAAATTGAGAGAACCATCTTCAACTAAATTATTTGATCGAGCAAACCTTGTGAAATAGACTTTGATCGGTTTGCTCTAAAGATACTTCAGAAACTGATGATTAAACAATTAAAAGAACATAGTAACTAATTACAAACACCATCAACATTATGCACACCAAAAAAGGGGTCTTACCGTGATCTCGCATATGTTCTGTTTACGACATATAACAGCAAATGGATCCACTGGATTCTTTAAGCCGTTATATAAACTAAGTTCCATAGATTTATATATATATATATATATAGATGAAAGCAGCCTAAAGAGAAGCAAGGAGCTTCAAAAGAGACTCAAAAAAACCTCACACAATCGTCATATTAATACTTACAGATTTGTTGTGAAGCAAAGTAGTACTAGTCTCTTCACGCAGTTGACAGCACTTCCAGTTCTGCCCACCAGAGAGCTGAAAGTTTTGGAATCGCATCGTCTGGTGATAATCCTGTGATCTCCCGTAATCTCCCTGTCACTTCCTTCATTGTCGGTCTCTGTTTCGGGTCTGCCCTTATGCAGCTTTTGATCACTTCGCCTATATTCTCAATCTTCTCATCAAAACTCTCCAATGTTGGATCCGCCATCTCCCTTAAAGTCTTTCCTCTCAAGAAATCAGCCAAACCAGTATCTATTGAGTCGCCTTTCCTAACTGACTCTGGGAGTTTTCCAGTCATCAATTCGAACAACAGCAACCCAAAGCTGTGAACATTGTCTTCTTGTGTCGTTTCTGAAATGTTTGTATCTATGAGTGCATTGGTGCTGCTCTCTGTCTCTGATGGGCCTTTTAGGTACCCGAAATTGAAATCTGCAATTTTGACTGCGTAGTCCTCTGTCAGTTGAACTGATGACGAGAGAAGACTGCTGTGGACTACAGGTGGTTTGAGCCCGTGCATATGGTCAAGACAATATGCTATGCCCATTGCTATTCTTAGCCGCATTACCCAGTCCAAGTGCTCTGACTCTTTATCTGCAACAAAGTCATATTGTTTCCCATTTTTAAACTGACAACTTACAGTGTAACGACTCATATGACTAAGGAGCTTTTTCACTTACAGTGTAGATGTTCAAAAACTGATCCGTTTGATGCATATTCAAAGACCAAGATCCTAGTGAAAGGTGCATCTTCTTCACAGTAACCAAGAAGGTTGACAAAATTCTTGTGGTTTATCTTGGATAACATTTCGATCTGAAATGATCCAAAACATAAACGATAAGGCAAATATGAACCAAAATCCATTTAAATATAAGGGAACTGGCTGACTGGAAATACCTTCTTTCTGAACTGCATTTCGATGTTATTAGTCCATTCTTTGGCAGACGCGGTAGCAACAGAAGCCACAGCTATTTCCACCCCACTAGATAGTGTCCCTTTGAACAAAGTGCCAATGGGACAAGACCCAATGACATTACTGAATTCTTCACAGGCAGCTTCAATCTCAGATCTTTTGAGTTTGGGGACACCTGAGTAACCAAATGGCACACATCATTAATATGGAAACCAAAAGAAAATGGACAAGCACGTCAATTAAACCTCAAACTTCCAGAAATAAAAATGACACTTAGTAAGACACTAAGACTGTAAGAGCGAGTAGAAAGGCAATTACCAGTTATGAACACTTTCTGAAGCTGTCCACTAAGACCTGTACGCCAAGGATTCACAGATTTCCCAGCCTTACTCTTGAAAAAGAAGACACCAGTTGCTAAAAGGAGGATAAACACAGCACCGCCTAAGCAGCCAGCCACTATAGGAACCGTGTTGTTTGAAGAATTTTTGGAGCTTCCTCTTAGGATAGGAAAATTCAAATGGGGCACAAGAGGAGGTGGAGCAGAAACATGTAGTGCAGGAGAACTTTTTGGCGGTGGAGGCAACGTTGAGGCTTTAGTAGCTTTAGTTCTCGGAGAAGATGACGGAGATGTAGCTCTTGCCACAGGGCGGTTCTTGTAGCTATTCAAATGGGTGTACGGGTTACGAAAACGGCCAAGTAATTTCCTGTGAAAACCAACTGCTCTCCTACAAAAAGGTCAAAAGGCAAAATGATATTTGAGTACACAGGAGAGCAAACAGATACATGTTTCTAATTCAAATGGAATAAACGAGTGTGCCAGAGCACAGTCAAAGTAAAATCAGCAAGTCTTAGTATAAAAATGCGTAAAACACAGTGTCGGTCTTCATGTAGTACTACTCAAGAAATAGTATTAGTTCACTCAAAAGAAAAAAACTAAAAAGTAAGCATGGTGTTAAAAAAAGTCATAGATCTACAAAAACCAGCTACATTGATGTTGATGTTCAACCAAAATTCATGTTCAAATCATGTTCGCAAAAACTATTCATTCTACATTGAACAATCAACTTAATAGTGGCTAAAACACTAGATCTTACATAGCAAGCTCAGAAACCTAATCTGCACAAGTATAAAAACACCTCATGTAAAGCGCAAGCATCAAGTTATAAATCTAAAAATCATCAACGAAGAGGTCTTATCCAAAAATACTTAAAACTTACTAAATCAATCCAGCTGCGTTAACAAACTAAAAAAAAAAAAAAAAAAAAAAATCACAGAACAAAAAAATCGAAAGCTGCTGATACTTACAAATCCTCGGCATCTCCATCTGACAACAGATCTTTCGTCACAAAATCCAGATAACCCACACCTGAAAAGCCAAAATCGAAACAGCAATCATCAGCAACTTGCTTCTATTTACCGGCGGCAATCAAAAGAAAAAGTGAGAGAGAATCAAAAACTAGTAAATATACCATGAGATGTCAACGAAAAGCAAGAACCGAAGCTCAAAATCACCAGAAGAAACAGGAGAGTACGATTTGGAAGAGTTAATCGAACAAATTTCCAGTTATCACTCATTGTGAGAAGACGACAAGTGGAAGCAGGAAGCTAATCAACGACACCGGAAGCTGGAAATACCAAAGGCTCGATTTGAATCTGATACGGCTAGATTGGAAGATGAAGAACAAAAAGAAATCAAAAAGTTAAGCTAAAAGAAGAAGAAGAAGGAAGAGAGAGAGAGGTTTAGAGTTTTGAGTTCGCATGGCGGAGGAGACGATTAGAAAGAAGAACATGACTTTTCAACTTTAGAGTTTTTTTTTAATTTTAAAGCGCGTGTCCCCGTGGTTTGGCCCCGATAATAAATTAAAAAGTATACAGAGACTCTCAGAGAGAGTAGTAAATTTAAATAAATAAAAGGCAATAACTTCTTCTTGTTGACAAAATAAATAATTAAACAATAACGTACATTTATTTTCTTTTATGAGAATTGAACGTATAATAATATTCAACTGTATAAATAAGGAAGAAGAAGAGAGTAACACAGTTTTAGCATAACATGTAGAAAAGATAGAAGAAATCTAAAACCAATGGACGTGAAGATGCCAGAGTTCAAAAAAGGTATCCAAAAGAAAGAGGCCAAAGCCACCGGTCACCACCACCGTCGATAAAGACTTGTTTTGATGTTAGCAGCCCTTTTCTGTGGAATATGGTTTATAGTAAAAAACATAAAACAATGGTGGTGGTGGGAGGATATATACGCCACGTGGATTTATTTTGTTGTAATCATGTGTTGGATAGTGGAATGATTGAAGTTGAATGATTGTGTTTTTTTTTTTCTGTTATTGTTATTATCAATTTATCATTACGGGATTAAGAAAATTATAATGATAATTTTTTTTCTTTTTTTTTTTCTTCTGATGACTGATTCAACGTGGAGGTTTTTTTCTTTTTTTTGGTATTATGTTGGCTTAGCTGTTGTTAAAATTCATTCGTTTTCAATCCAACTCTTTGCCATGTGGTCATGGTCATGGATGTAATGGGTGTGTATCGCGTACGCCCCAATTTTATTTTTGCTGGCGCTAAATTCGTTTATATATTCTCAGATTTTTTAGGGTATGGAGAAGTGTTCCATAATTGTTGTTATTGACACACCGCCCACGTTTTGTGGTGTTTATCCCATTCAAAGAGACACAAAGAAGTGTTCCATAATCAATCTATCTCTATTCTTCCACGATCTCTTGTCGATCATATATATATAAAGTACCCATATTGCAGCTACTACCTGATTTTATTGTTTACGGGCCTAATGCTAATGAGCAGAAGATGAAATGTTCTTGATTCAACATTAACATAACCATACATATATGTTCCGATGAGATCAATCCAAACACACATGTTCCGACAAACACTCAAAATTCATTTTGGAAATTTGGAACTTTTGAGTCTAATCATAATGTCCAAGTCCGACCATACCTTTTGATATGATCTACATCCATTCTTCAGCTTAATATATGCATTTTCTTTGGTAATCAAGTTAGACACACAATTAATCCATCAGAAAATTTTCAAATCAATAAAAAATAGTTAACTCATGAATAAAAAGTTCGACATAATGTTTTTTGTTGTTGTTGTTGTTAAATAAGAGCTTCATTATTGGTTGAATGGATCCGAAGAAATTAAATGGTTGACTAGTATGTATGTAACGGTCTCGCCGTAATCTGAAAGCCATCGAGTTTTTGATTGGAGGATGAAGCAAAAAGAGCAAATCAAATACTATTATAGAATTTTACAAAATTCACCGCCATGTCTACGCGTACGTAATCTAACTTCATCTTTACGTAAGTTTATGCCTTCTCTGTTTTGGTCACCTTTATACTTATTAGTATTATAGTCGTCACTTTGTTTTTTGGTCTTGCAAGTGCATATGCATGCACTTTCATGGGAAACTTTGCTTGAAGTAATTGACAGTCAGATAGTGCTGCGGCATATATATAATATAGTACTTACAAACTAAATTTTGATGGGCGTTAGAGTATTAAAAATATATAATGGGAAACCTTAAAGATCAATGCATTGATTATATTTGTCATTGACTTATTAAATGGAACAAACAAACCATGCATATGGCAGCTGTCTGTGTGTGTAAAGAGGTTTCAGAACGATCGTATATAATACTATTATCATATAATATTATTGTACATTAGGACTTTAATTAGGACCATATATAATTAAGAAAAAATATTACAAAATAAGATCTGAAAACTTTGAATAGTATGTATAAAACTAATTGAAGCTGCAATCACATGTTAGCGTACATATGCATGTTATATTGTTTATTTTTGCGTCAGATTCTATATATATTTTAAATTATATGTTTAACTCTTAATTATTATACGATTCTTTCAAAACCTCTCACATGTTCTATAGTAATTTCTATGATGAACCAATTCTAAAATTCATAGATATCTAATTAAGATCATATATATGAACAAGTGTACATATATAACTGGTCACTAATGAGAAAGATCTCTTCTTGCATAAGTATATTTGTAATTATCGAGCTCATCGCTTCATTTTTTACTTTCTTCCATGGATTATCTTATTGAGAACTTCTACAATTCGATTTTTGTTGTTTCTTCTTCATTTCCCTGAGAAGCCGCCCTCTCTCGGAGAATCTTCTGCCCCATATACCTATACACATGTATTAGAACTCTCCCATAATTATGTCTAATATAAAAACTTTTTAATTTGGATAATTTGTTTCATTTGGTTTATGCGTGTAAGTACCTTCCGAGCATCATGATCGTGGCTTGAGGATTAGTCCCCGGGGTCTTAAGAAATGTGGATGCATCAATGACCCTCAAACCATCAATCCCTAATACTTTGTAATCATTGTCCACCACTTTTCCAACTTGACAACCTCCATGGTAATGATAAAGAGTCATCACTGTGTCTTTACAAAACTGTTTCAAGTCGAACGTCGAGGTTATGTGTCTTGGCCTCAAATTGTTGGGAAGGAGAAGAATGAGATCCAACAGTCCACGTCCGGTCACTCCAGGGAATTTATACTTGGAGTATCCCTTCGAATCTATCACTTTAATCAACGCACTAAGTCCTTTAACACAATTGTTCAAATCCTCTGGCTCTTGGTAGTAGTTGAATGTCACTGAAGGATTATCATCTGGATTCGTGTTCCGCAGCTCCAAGTGACCTCGCGAGAGCGGTCCATATACTTTCATAACCATCCCACCCGCTTGTGCCGTCACGTTGAATCGAAAGTCCAAAGATTTGAAAAAGTTCGAGAGGGTTTTGGTAGGGAGTTTTATCTGCATAAACATCATACAAAACTAACCTTTAATTAGTCTTCTGAATTAATAATAGTTTTATATAATGTTGAATGAGTGATCTTAATTGATGATTATATTTATACCTCATTGAGAAGATTTAGAACACCATTAAAGAAGCTATGGGTCAAACTAATAGAGAGACTTAACCCACTTAAACCTTCAATATAACTACCAAAATGTGGGATTCCCGCGATTTGGACAAGGGACACTTCTACAGGTTTAGGTGAAAGGACTAAAACAGGGTTCATGGGGTTATCACCCATTCCTTTTCCCACCATGGGGTGATCTAGGATAATTGGATTCACTCCATGGGCTGCAAGATGGGATCTTGGACCTACACCACTCAACATCAATAGTTGCGGGCTTGCGATTGCACCCGCTGATAAGATCACCTCGTTCATTGCGTCCTGATCCACTAGTTTGGCTGTGTGGAACACTCCGTTTGCATCTCGGAATATGACCCCTTTGGCTTTAGGCTTTGGACTTTCTGTACAAAAACAAAGTTGGTCATATATATCCGAATCATAGGAAAAGAACAATGTGTGTTCGAATGACTGATCAGACGGATGACAACGACCAAACCGACCGCCAAACTTATATGATACACTATATTACTTGGAAACAACAAAACCAAATTAACGAACTATTCATATCAAGACCTAAAAGTCTGTATATAATATTATAATCTAAATATCTAGTTTATTTTAATTAATAAGTTGTTAAAAAAAAAATTTATATACAATTATTAGAATTATCTATTTTTATTATAATTTAATCAAATATAGAAATAGCACATTCTATGTTATAAATAGCAAAATAGTTTCGAGATATTTTTTGAATGTATAATATTTTCTGGTAGTAAATTTGGTTACGTGTAACATAAGTCTCTCACACACACTCTCAATTAATCTCTCTCGCTATTCCTAAATCCTAACCCTCACGAGTCATGCCGTCTCCTTCACCAATCCTAAACCTCCTATTTATGGAAACCCCAAAAAGAAAAAAAGTTTAAATCTTGCTAATATAGTATCAATTATCAATCATTTACCTTTGGTAGTGAAGAGGATCTTATGAACAGAAGCATGCAAGTAGACAGCAATCTTATTCGGATTAGCATACTCCAACAAATTCGCCGCCGTGTGTCTCCGACCATTCTCGTCAATGATCGTACCGCCAATTTTCGTACCGTAAATATGTTCGTAAGTAAAACCATTGTACGGAGTGACTCCAGCTTCCAAAAGCCCGTCTCTAAACGCCGATTGCCATCCCTTAACCTTGGGCTGGAACACCACTTTCTTCTCGACCCACTCGTAAGCCGCTTCGACCTCGTCACTGTCCCATCCTGCTTCCGCCACGAAGTCATCTTCAGCACGCGAGTAGAACCCCGCGTTTATCACCGTGCCTCCGCCGAGAACGCGAGCGCGTGAGTTGAATACACCGTCTTGGGAGATGAATAGCTGCGTCCAAGAGTTTGGAGTTATGTTCAAGAGTGTGTTTACGAAGTTGTTGATGTCTGTGGCCGTTGGGTTGTCGTAAGGGGAACCACCGCGTTCTAGTACTAAAATGGTAGCGTTTTGAGAAAGCGTTGCGGCTAGTGCACATCCGGCGGTTCCTCCTCCGATGACTATATAGTCGAAGTGAGACAACTTTGGTGCTATTGTTGCATCTTTCATAAAACTATAATAACCAGCTTCACGACAATAACAAATTTCAAATGAAAAAAAGTTAAAATAAGTATATATACTAAGAAATAACCTTTAAGTTCATTAAATTGAATGTGTAGTGAAGAAAATTAGTAATCGTACCTTTATCGGAATAACACGAGTCGTGGAAGATGAAAACTGCGACGACAACAAAACAAAATAATCGGAATATATAAAATTCCATGATTATTATATACTATAAATCTGACCTCTTCAAAAAAAATTGGATTATATATTTAGGGCATAGAAGAGTAGAACTCATCTGGTTTATATAATGTCTAGAAGGATACGATACGATTCTTTTGTAGAGAGCCGTATATGAAACAAAAACATTATATGAACCGGTTACGGCAAAGTCTTATTCTCATGTAATTTTCGGCATATCCTTTTAAACCATTTATTTATCAACACGTGTGAAAAACGATCTAGGATTCGAAAGGCATCATCGTATTTATCTTGTCTTTTCGTAGAAAAATATGATGTCTTTCATGAGATCCCTTTTATATATGTGACAAATTCTTATTACATAAATTTTTATATGCGGTTCCTTTCAAAAGAAAAAGAAAAACATTACGACTGTGGCGCTGGGTGAGAATTAGAAATTCCCACTTCTAAATACAAATTTTAGAGAAATAAAGAAAATTTTTGCCCAAAAAAAAAAAGAGAAATAAAGAAAATTAATATTATCTTTTACAGAGAGAGACAAATTTCACATTAGAAAAAAAAAAAGTAATTTGACAACAAAGAAATTATATATTGGTGGTGAGCCGAAGAGGAAAGGGCGTTTGGTTCATTATATTAATAAACTCATACGTTACCAAACTGAGAGATTTGAGTATCCACTTTGTTTACCAAAAAAATAAAATTAATCAGCGACCTCATTTTGTTTTCTGGTCATACTATTACAAAATGTAATATTAGACATTAATGTTCATTCTTTTTCCGAACAAAATAATTTAGAATAATAAGCCAAAAGTATCTGTAATCCTGTTTTTGTTAGGACTAAAGATATGGCACACTCAAAATCCCATGAAGAGGATTGTCATACATCTTTCATTGGAGAAAGCAACAATCCCCAAATAAGGAGATTTTTTTTGAGAATATATATTTCAAATCTCAAGTAATTTTTATTAACTTTTTATATATTTAATTTATATGGATTCTTTGATTATTTTTACAACTCGGTTTTAACTGTTTCTTCTTGTTGTTTTTCTCGGATAACAGTCCTCTCTCGAAGAATCTTCTGCCCCATATACCTACACATATTATAACTCTTCAACAATCATATTTAGAAAACATTTATGTTGGATCATAAAACATCAATGCGTTTATTACCTTCCCATCATCATGATCGTGGCCTGGGGATTAGTCCCTGGAGACTTGAGAAACGTGGATCCATCGATGACCCTCAAAGCATCAATCCCTAATACTTTGTAATCCTCGTCGACCACTTTCCCAACTTGACAACCTCCATGGTAATGATAAATAGTCATCACAGTATCTTTACAATACTGTTTCAAATCGAACGCCGAGGTTATGTGTCTTTGCCTCAGATTGGTTGGAATGGTAAGGATGAAATCCAGTAGTCCCCGTGAACTCACTCCATCGTACGTGTACTTGGAGTACCCCTTGGAATCGATCACTTTCATAATGGTACTAAGTCCTTCAACACACTTGTTCAAATCCTCGGGATCTTGATAGTAGTTGAATGTCACTGAAGGGTTATCATCTGGGTCCGTGTTCCGCAACTCCAAGTGACCTCTCGAGTGCGGTCCATTCGTTTTCTGGATAATCACACCCGCTTGTGTCGTCACGTTCAAGCTAAGATCCAAAGAGTCTAAAAACTTTGAGATAGAGTGTGTAGGAAGTTTCATCTGCATTTAAAACAAAAAAAACAAGTCATGTGTGTTTTATGACAATTTCATAGCATTTTAGTGCATTAATAATTGGTAATACCATTTTAACAAGTTTCAGAACAGCATCGAAGAAGCTACCGGTGAGACGAAGAGAGAGACTTAACCCACTTCCACCTTCAATGTAACTTCCAGACTTGGTGATCCCAACGGCTTGTACAAGGGACACTTCAACGGGTTCAGGAGAAGGGATCAAAACGGGGTTCATCGGGTTATCAGCCATCCCTTGTCCCACCATGGGGTGATCTACGATGACCGGATTCACCCCATAAGCTGTGAGATGGGCCTTAGGACCTACACCACTTAGCATCAATAGTTGTGGGCTCCCAATGGCACCAGCTGATAAGATCACTTCATTCGTTGAGTCTTGCGTTGCCAATTCTGACTTGTGGACCACTCCATTTGAATCTTGAAATATCACCCCAAATGCTCTTGGCCTCTGGTTCCCTATCGATTACAGTATTTTCATATCCGGAGCAATAACAATAATTGGGGTACGGTACTGTTCAATGACATACGACTGATAACAACCAAACGATCGCAATAATTGACTCATAAACCAACAGCTGATGAATAGTCAGAGTATTTAATATGTTAACATAAGAAAAATGACTGTTATGCTTTGATATTTTGTGTTAAAAACAAAATTTTTAACTAACGAATAAACAAGAAATCCATAAATACCAAAAAACTGTCGAAAAATATAAGTACTGTATATCTTATTAGTCTTAACTAAAACACAAACACTCAATTTTGATTACGTGTAATCTACGTATCCTTTACTTTTTTTTTCTCCCTGCCCTAAACCCTAACGAGTCACTCCATCGCTTCTTCAGTCAAAACTCATAAACCTCTTATCATGGAATAAATTAAAGACATATAAGTAGTTATACCTTTGGTAGTGAAGAGGATTTTATGGACAGAAGCATGCAAGAAGACAACAATGTTATCCGGATTAGCATACTCCAACAAATTCGCCGCCGTGTGTCTATGACCATCCGGGTCAAATATGGTACCACCAAACTTGGTCCCAATGATATGTCTAAACGTGAAACCATTGTTAGGACTCACACCAGCCTCCAAAAGCCCATCTCTAAACGCAGATTGCCATCCCTTAGCCGGCGGTTGGAACACCATCTTCTTCTCGACCCATTCATACGCAGCTTCGACTTCGTCTCTGTCCCATCCTGCTTCCGCCATGAAATCTTCTTCCCCACGGGAGTAGAATCCCGCGTTTATCACGGTGCCTCCTCCGAGCACGCGCGCACGTGCGTTGTAAACGCCGTCTTCCGAGACGAAGAGCTGCGACCATGAGTTTGGTGGAATTATGTCCAAGAGTGTGTTTACGAAGTTCCCTATGTCTGTAGCAGCTGGATTGTCGTAAGGAGACCCACCGCGTTCGAGAACTAAAACGGTAGCGTCTCGAGAGAGCGTTGCGGCTAATGCACATCCGGCGGTTCCTCCTCCGATGATAATGTAGTCGAAGTGTGACAACTTTGGTGCTGATGTTGCATCTTTCATAAATCTATAGTTTCCAGCTTCACGATAACCAAAATTTTCAGAAAGTTTGGAATTGATTTTAGTAACAGTATGCTAAGATAAACCGGAAAAAAAAAATCATAAATTGAATGAGTTAGTAATGGGAATTAACTAATTATTATACCTTCATCGGAATAACACGATGAGTCGTGGAAGATGAAAACTGTGACGATTATCAAATGAAATAGTGGGAAAATCTTTATAACCATTATAGTGTAAAGGTTTATAGTGTAAAGGTTATTTATTTGTTATTTTGTTCTTTTATTTTATTTTTGAGGCAAAACTCAGTGGAGTTTTTATAGACAATTAAATCACAAGAGAATGAGCTATCTCATACTTTTCAAGACAAAGTCTTATTCGATGGTGGCCTAGCTTCAGCAGCCACTAAATTTGCTGGCACATTTAGGTCCATAGACTATAGTATTATTCTACTACTATATCTTCCATGTTAGATTTTGATTTTATATAACAATTAATATATATTGATAGTGTTATCCCCACGGTCCTTGTCATACACATTTTTCTTGCATGTACATATTTTTTTTTTCCTCAACCATACATCATAATAAAAAGATCATTTATTTTTCAATATAACAACAAACCAAAGAGATTTGATAATCAGATCCATGTACAAATAATGATCAGACTGCTTGTTATCATTGTCCATATTTAAAGAGGACCTAAATTGTCAAAGTGAAAATAAATAAACTATTTTTTCTTAATAATGAAACTTTTATTCATGCAATTATTCTAGGTCTTGTTCACAATTACTATACATAAGTAACGTTTCAAAATCAGAATTGTTGAAATCATACTTGTGCAGAAGTAATCCGTAATTAACTATGTCATGGAAGAAAATTGAATATGAAGGTCAATAGCAAAATTGCCTTACACCTCATTTGGAGACTCATTGCAATGTCGAGACAATGAACTTATAAGGATAAAGTAGGCACATATTTTCAATAATTATTATGTATATGTATTCAACATATACTTTACAACGTAGAAGACAATTAATCTAGTTACATCATAAAACGCTCTTACAAGATTCATACATGTATGTCTTCAGAGCATTTTCTATTTGGACGATGAAGGGGACTGTCTCATCTGTCATGACAAGATTTAATTTAAAATCTCATGTTTCTTCTTCTTTTCCATGGAAAGCCGTTACGTTCTCTCTCGAAGAATTTTCTGACCCATGTACCTACACATTACAATTGTCCAACGTAAACTTTAAAACATGTTAAATCATTTGTATGTGTTTGCATGCGTTTACCTTCCCAGCATCATGATCGTGGCCTGGGGATTAGTCCCTGGAGACTTGAGAAACGTGGATCCATCGATGACCCTCAAAGCATCAATCCCTAATACTTTGTAATCGTTGTCGACCACTTTCCCAACTTGACAACCTCCATGGTAATGATATATAGTCATCACGGTATCTTTACAATACTGTTTCAAATCGAACGCCGAGGTTATGTGTCTTGGCCTCAGATTGGTGGGAAGGGCAAGTATGAGATTCAATAATCCACGCCCACTCGATCCAGGGTACTTGTACTTGGAGTACCCTTTCGATTCTATCACTTTGATAATGGTATTAAATCCTTCAACACACTTGTTCAGATCCTCCGGGTCTTGGTAGTAGTTGAATGTTACTGAAGGGTTGTCATCTGGATCTGTATTTCGCAACTCCAAGTGACCTCTCGATAGAGGTCCATTCACTTTTTGGATTATCACACCAGCTTTTGTAGTCACCTTCAAACGAAGATCCAAAGATTCAAAAAGCTTTGAGATGGGTTGCATAGGAAGTTTCGTCTGCATAAAGAAAAATAGCATATTATTTAGCCACGTCGATCTTATAACAATTTCTTAGTGTATTAATTATATTGATTATACCTTTTTAACAAGATTCAAAACAGCATCTAAGAAGCTACGGGTCAAACTAATAGAGAGACTTAACCCACTTCCACCTTCAATATAACTGCCAAATTTGGTGATCCCAACGGCTTGTACAAGAGACACTTCTACGGGTTCAGGGGAAGGGATGAACACAGGGTGCATTGGGTTATCAGCCATCCCTTGTCCTACCATGGGGTGATCTACGATGACTGGATTCACCCCATGTGCTGTGAGATGGGCTGCAGGGCCGACACCACTCAGCATCAGTAGCTGCGGGCTGGCGATCGCCCCAGCTGACAAGATCACCTCATTCATTATTGAGTCTTGCGTTGCCAATTCTGCCGTGTGGTACACTCCACCTGCATCCTGAAATATCACCCCATATGCTTTGGGCCTCTCATTACCTGTCCAATTTATGTTAAACTTAAATATTATAACTATTCACATAACAATATATCATTACTACGAATAGTATATAAACAAAAATCATAATACTTAAGCAAGTGTTTCAACTTTCAACTAACAAACACAAGTTGTGATTAAAATAATCACATGTAAGCTACGTACGTCTCTTTTTTATTGGTTTTTTGTTGTTTGTCAGCTCTCTCGCTTCCTTGTATTTAATAAACATCTGCTTATGGAAAAAACAAAGACATGTCTATGACTTCGTTATCAATCAATAGTCAATATACCTTTAATAGTGAAGAGGATCTTATGGACAGAAGCATGCAAGTAGACAACAATGTTATCCGGATTAGCATACTCCAACAAATTCGCCGCCGTGTGTCTATGACCATCCGGGTCAAATATGATACCACTAAATTTGGTGCCAACGATATGTTCGTACGTGAAACCATTATTAGGAGTCACTCCAGCCTCTAAAAGCCCATCTCGAAACGCAGATTGCCATCCCTTAACCTGCGGCTCGAAAACCACTTTCTTCTCGACCCACTCGTAAGCCGCTTCGACCTCGGCTCTCTCCAAACCTGCTTCCGCCACGAACTCTTCTTCCGCACGCGAGTAGAACCCCGCGTTTATGACGGTACCTCCACCGAGCACGCGTGCGCGTGAGTTGTATACGCCGTCTTGGGAGATGAACAGCTGCGACCATGAGTTTGGAGTTGTGTCCAAGAGTGTGTTTACGAAGTTCCCGATGTCTGTCGCGGTTGGGTTGTCGTAAGGGGAACCGCCGCGTTCGAAAACTAATACTGTAGCGTTTTGAGAGAGCGTTGCGGCTAATGCACATCCGGCGGTTCCTCCTCCGATGACTATATAGTCGAAGTGAGACAACTTTGGTGCTAATGTTGCGTCTTTCATAAAACTATACTTTCCAGCTATTTGCATAAAATTTGGAGGTCAAATTAGTATACTAGGCTATAACCGGAAAATAATAAGAATAAGTTGAATGGTTTGGTAAAAGGAACCTAACAATTGTACCTTCATCGGAGTAACACGAGTCGTGGAAGAAGAAAACTGCGACGAGAATACAACGAAGTAACCGGAAATTATGAAAATCCATTACAGAGCAAATATTATGTTTGTTGAAGTTGTATAAGAAAGACTATATATTTGTTTGTTTGGTTATTTCTCTTTTGGGGTCAAGAAAGAAAAATGATTAAGGTTCATACGGTATATATAAAAGGCAAAGTCTTTTGGAGTATTTAGAGAACCATATCTTTCACGGTTACGGCAAAGTCTTATTCGATGGTGGCTGGCTTTGGCTTCTTTATTTTCTGGCACATTTATCAAGTCCAAAGACTTTGATATTTTGACATTAATCATTATAACATAGTGTAGTAATTCGTAAATACGATATATATATTTTTTTTAAAGTACGAGATTTTAATTCTTAGCACACTGTTCTTATTATACTCGTACTTTTTGCAGCCTATATAAAAAGTTTGGTTTGTTGTACCTAAAAAAAAAAGTAAACTTGTCAACCATCATACATTGCAAAAAAAAAAAAATTGGATACCAAAAATTTGGAAGAACAAAAGTGTTTATAAAGATAACATCATCGAGTATAATCCAAAAATACGAACAGAATCAACAAATTTTTCGAAGCAAACCGAATTGACCTAACATGTTTTGTTGTAATTATTCGTTCGTTTTCTTGTTTTTTTTTGTGTGTGTGTATACTTTCTGCACTTTACCATATATTTTTTAGAAGTGAAGAGGCTGCACATGACCCGATCCTTAATGTAAGCAGACGGACCTAATTTGTTGACTTGACAATAAATATGTATCTATCTAATTTCTTTTACTAATATTGAAGCATATTGACTTGTTCTCTCATGCAATTAGTGATTGGCATCGTTATCGTGATGAGCTACACCAAAAAGTTGAATATCATTACACTTACACATCGATGGCAAACTGGTAGTTGGAGTTTTAAAGAAGACTGTCCAAATGTTGGATTGTTGGGTATTAAAGCTGAAACTTAACCATAAATAGAAAAGAGAACTAATCAAAGAGATGTGAGAATACTTGTTTTCATTGGTTAAAAACATAATGAGCAGTTCTGTAACTTTCAATGGAAGTCCAAGTGAATCCTCAATCCTAATGAGAGTTTGGCTTATGCATAAGTAATACCAAAACATGAAACAATTCATCATAAATTGAAAAACTTGAAAACAAAACCACCAAATGTCTCCATAGAGAAATTTACCACTATTATCATCCATACTACTTCCACACATTAATTTTATTTTTTTTAAAGCACAGAAGGAAGAATCACTTCCTAAGGTTCATATGACATTGTCAAAACCTAACATCACAGATTCTATTGACCTTGACGATATCTGATGGTTTCTCAGCTATACAGCATGTGATAGAACCTGTCAAGATCAACCCAGCGTGTTTACAAACTTATTAACTTTGATTCTTGAGCTCACCACAATCTTCAATAACAACTGGTTCAGAGGTATTTCCCCTGTCAGATCCAACATCTTCCATAGCCTTCACCACATTGTACCCATCAACAACTTTCCCAAAAACGACGTGTTTCCCATCGAGCCACGATGTCTTCTCAGTGCAAATGAAGAACTGAGACCCATTAGTGTTGGGGCCAGAATTAGCCATAGACAAAATCCCTGGACCAGTATGCTTCAGCTTGAAGTTCTCATCATCAAATTTAGAACCATAAATCGATTCTCCTCCAGTTCCATTCCCACGGGTGAAATCTCCACCTTGGCACATGAATCCTGGGATAATACGGTGAAAGGCTGAGCCTTTGTAGTGTAATGCCTTTCCTGCTTTCCCAATTCCCTTCTCTCCGGTGCACAGAGCACGGAAATTATCCGCTGTTCTCGGTGTTACATCAGCAAATAGCTCCATTACAACACGCCCTGCCTTCATCTTTCCAATCAAGATGTCAAAGAAGACTTTTGGGTTCGCCATTTCTCTCAGGTTTCACTAATCCTGTCAATAACAAAAGTTATGATTCAGCAAACTAAAGTATGAACCAAACCATGAATTTGAATTTAGCAAATAATGAAGACCCGTTTCAATCGTAAGTCGTAGATATGACTTCTACAAAACTCTTCTTAATTCCAACACAGTCAGACACACAACTCAAAAAGCCTCAAACAGTTCAAACAACAACAACTGTCAGATTCAAATGCTACTAATGTCTGATTTACTCAATTCAAAAGAATAGGGACTAAATTGTTGATTCATATATTGAACTCTAGCCAAAATGTAAATCATAACATCAAGGAAGAAATGTCCCACCCATCAAAATTGTCGATAAGAAAGGTAAGTTCTTATAACACAGAGATCTTTTTCAATCTCAAAATGGATGGTTTTAGAATATTGCACAAATATTGAGCTCGCAGGCGTTTTTAATTATACGTTATCTGCAAGCCTTCGATATGTGCTTCTACGCAATACAATGCAAAAAAAATTGAGAAACAATTGGATTAAAGTGAAGCAAAACCATCGAAATGAAGTACCTTCGCAGAATGATACTCCAGACCGTAGATTTAACTTGGGTGATGCGAGTGAAGATTTTATATAACGGCTCAGCAGCACAAGGGATGTGGGGGCTAGGGTTTTACCAGGGCTTTTGGATTGTTTGAGACAGAGTGATCTCTGTATTTTGTCGGTTTTATCCTCTTACTTTTCATGTTTTACATTCTTACCAACCCTAACAGGCTGACCAATAAGCCCATTTTATGATTTAGGCCCATTATCGAAACTACCGTCCAGAGTTATATTCAATCGTTTCGTTAGACCCAACAGCCCAAATTTCATATTGGTTTACTCTTATATCAACGTATCAAAACTAAACATGAATCAAACAAATTGAAGGTAAAAAAAAAAGTACTTAAAACTTGAATTGAAAGCTTCTAGTTAAAGGACACATTATCACAATAATTTCGCCTTCAGTGTCATTCCTATACTTTCCAAGCCAAAAAAATTAAGAACATCCTCACCAAAAAAATTCATTGAACAACCCTAATCGAAAAAGAAATGAACAAGATTCCTTAGAGAGGATTAAAATGTTGTGTTTACGGACGCCACGAAGACTTCACGCCAACCAGGAATTTTCCTCTGTACACATTTGTTGACCATCGCAGAGATAATAGAATAGGGTTTAGCTTCTTTAGAATTTCAACGGTGTCTTGTACCACAAGATACCCTCCTGGTCTTACTATTCTGTCTATTTCTACCACCACCTCCATCAAATCACACCTGAAAAATATCAAAACACAAAAAGAACATATACCTTTTGATGCAAATCTAAACACACAAAAAAACTACAAAAGCATTCTCAGTCGAAGAATCATAAATTTTACCTTTGAGAAAGATTGGTTAGAAGGAAACTAGAGTGCAAGAGATCATATGATCTTGGATATGTATTGAACGACTCACACCAATCATGGTATATCCCTATCAAACCTCTATCGAAAATGGTTGGTAACGTGTCTTCACCTTCCACAGGAATCACATTCATTACCCAGAGAGGTTTGTTTATAAGAGCAGCAGCAAATCTGAATTAAAGCAAATTATAGATGAGCCAAGAGTAAGCAAGAGATGATTATTTCTTTTGTGAACTATATCGAAATATTAAAGATTCTCTCACCCTCCATAGCCAGCGTTCATGTCCATAACATTGTGGATCCTGCTCCAGTTTATAGCTAAACCGTTTAGGTAGATATTTGATATAGTTCCAGCCCAGAGTTTAGTGTCTTGTTTGAAACTCTCTTCACCGCTCTGTTCTGTCAAAAGGCTAACCGGTGTCTCAGTTAACCTTCCAGGCCATACGGAAGGCCATTTTCTGGTTGGACCGACCGGTAGTTTTGGTAGACAGGTAAGCAGAGGAGTATACCTGTTATTCGAAAAAACATGTATTGGACCAAAAAACTCTGTTTTTTTCTCTCTTGAGATGAAACAAAAAGTAGGATAACATGTCATTACCATGAACTGTTCTTCTTAGTCTCTTCTTTGAAACAAAGAGGCGGATCTTTCTCCTTACGAGATTCATAGCAAGAATCAGAGTCTGGTTTCTGGTATATCACGAAGCCAACTTTTGTGAATCGAGTTCTAGCCACAACTTTCCAACACATTGATGTAGTCAAAGACTCCATTGCTGCAGAAGAAACACACACAAAAGCACATCATTCATAAACTTTTTCTGTATTCTTATTAAAACATAATCAGTATAAGATTAACAACACTTAATACTAACTTTTCCAAACATTACGGTGTTCTTCATCGTGTTGATAAACCGGTGTAGCTGACCAAACAAAAAACCCTCCAGGCCTTAGAACCCGGTTAAGTTCCAGAAGTGGTCTACCACCTGCAACAACATATTTTCAAAACAGTATCAACAAAGCAATGAACTTCTCTGATTCAAAAAATTAAGGATATATATATATTGAGTGTATCAACCGTATCCGTGCCAATGGACTCTGCATCTAGCGCAATGGATAACGTCGTAAGCATTATCAGGAAAAGGAAGCTTTTGAGTTCCAATAACAGCGAGAGTAGCTGGAATCCCTCGTTCTAGTGCGAACTGAATCTGAGCTTCGTGTTCGTCTTTAGGAGCAAATGACATTGTGATCACGTTTTTATCAAGCAAAGTCCCACCAAAGCTTGCCACACCACAACCAACATCAAGAACCACTCTTACTTTCTTCCCCCAATCAAGAACATGTAACGTCTGTAAAAAGAAAACCGTAACTTAGTAAACAGAATCAGTGTCTTGGTTATGTATTATATGTTTTAAACCTTTTGAATGAAGTTGATGTAGTGAATAACACCGTCTTTGAATTGAGTTCCTCCTCCAGGGAAGACAAAGAAAGGTCCGGATTTGCGCACCCAATTCTGATCTTTCTTGTATTCTACAAGCTTCGGGTGAGGAACATTGTCATACCAAATCTGCAGAAACAAGAATTTAAAAAGCATGAACAATCACAAGAACTAACTACTCTAAATCAACATAACAAGAACCAAGAAAGCCTTATCTCTTTTTTGCAAGAACCAAGATAAACTGTAATGAAAGAAAAGATCTTACCGAAAAAATAGAAACAAGTCTCTCACCATATCCCTGCTCTGAGGCCAAGGAAGAGGAACCTTGTAGCGTTGTGGCAAAGGAACCAAACATTTAGGTGCAGGCTCAGGGCAATGTCTCTCTCTGTGCTCCATGTTCCTCTTGGACTTGAGTTTCTTGATAGCTTTTGTGTTATCCAAACAAGGTATGTAATCTGGACTCTCACATCTCTTCCAATCCAGGGGCAAACTCACATTCCATTCTTTGTCGTCTTTAAGCCAATCCGATTCCAAACCTTGATCAATCGGATGATCATCGACTCGGGTCTGAGCAACCGGTGGTTCCGGAGGAGATGATGAGTCGTTGGTGGGACTCGAGATTGGTGTGGAGATGGGGATGTCGGAGAGGGAAGATCGACGGAGATAAGAGAGAGACAAGTAAGGGAAGAGATCGATGGTGTCATTAGTTAAGAGGAGGATCGTGACTGATACGAGCAAGATTGAGAGAACACAGAGGCCTGAGAATTTTCGACTTTGGAAGATGTTCTTGATCATTCTTTCTTCTGTTTCCACACAACAAAGCAGAGAGAGAGAGATACTCTGACCGATCTTTAGAGAAGAGTAGAGAAGAGAGATGTTGTAGTTATGTGCAAAGAGCTAAAAATAGAAAACAAGAGTGGCAATAAATAAATATTATATGACATGACATGTGTCATGCTATTACTTGCTCTGACGTGATGCGAGATATGGAAAGTAATCTTAAATCTTTATGAAGTTATGATTCTATTTGTATAGTTTGATGTGCAAGTTCGTGGATGAGAATACAAAAGCTCGAATTGGTCTAATCGTTAAACCGGACATCTTATTCTACTTAAACCGGTCAATCTAATGAGCTTAGCTTCCTGTGTAGCCTCTTTGCCTTTGTGTTTCTCAATAATTCAATATGCTACATAGAATGTAAGACCACATTAAAAAAAAAAAACTGTCAAAACAACAAGAATATGTCATTTACTTGTTAAAAGCTCAAGAATTGATGGAAATGCAAAAGCTATCAATATTGCCAAAATTAATCCTCATGTGAACAAATTTGTTTTGATAATTGAGTTATTTGTTTGTGAACGTAAAAAATAAAAAGAGATTATGATCCTAATACATATCTAATTGTCTAGTGAGTGAGTATAAGTAAGGCCATATTAGAGAGAGATGAGAATCAAATTATGTAAATATGGTGAGTCTCATCCACCGCTTTAGCCAAAATCTAGAAAGAAACAAATGGTGTTTAATATTAAAAAAAAAAAAAAAAAGTCAATATTAATCGCCCACCGTGGGGCTCGAACCCACGACCACAAGGTTAAGAGCCTTGCGCTCTACCAACTGAGCTAGACGGGCTTGTTGTATGTGTTCTTCGTCTAAATTCAATATAGCAAACATATTCTTTTTTAGGGACTAGATAGACACTGCTACTACTAGGGGCCCATGACATATTGACATGTAATCAAATAAGTTTTTTTTCCATTTTTTCGAATTTATAAGTTCATTGATATTTCAAGTTGACATATCTATACATATGAAAAATAATTAGTTGTGTTTCATGATCATTGATATTAAAATGAAGAAATATCAGCAAACTGTTTTTCAGAGATTGATTGGTATATGTTAAGAATGACAAGTTATTTAGCTAAGCTCACATACACCAATCATTATCAATTCTTGTCAGTATGATGATACACTCACACAGCACTCTACAAACTTTGGTACGAGTTTACTACACTGATTACTGATCCCATTGGAAGACCACTTTGTGTTTTTTTTTCTTGGATGCAGAAAGTTTTGGTACCACTTTGTTACCAAAATGAAATAAAACACTGTACTTTCATGCGGGGGTAATGAAATAATAGAGTAGCAATGCCCATTACATTACACCTCAAAACAACGGCTGATTTGAAATGGTCTCAAGGAAACTGATATTACGAAATGGTCAAAACCATAATACTGAAAATCTTAAAAAGAAGTTAACTCAAGAAACATAATATCTTGTTTCTCTCTCACAAAAGAACAGATACTAAATCAAGTCTTCTACCTCACAAGTTACATCTCATCATACTCAAAATAACTCGAAAGTTAACCAAACTGCGAGGAGTACAGCTAAAAAATGCGATCAAGCAGCACCAAGAAGCTCCTGATCGAAATGCCATGTTCCTGTATACAAAAAAAAAAAAAAAACACAAAGTGTGAGGCACGAAGTGGAAGAATTGAGGTATGTGCAGATATTAGTTTAAAAGTGATTAAACAAATGCTTACCATGTCCTTTGCCGAGTCTCCTAAGTTGAGAAACATATTCTGAGATTTTCTTAATCGCTTCCACCTGCGAAATGATGTTATTTTAAGTCAATTAGATTCCATTTTTTGAAAGATCCAGAACCGCATATCTTAGCCACTATCATAGAACGTGTCTGTGTTTTGTTTACCTGTTCGTTCAGAAACACACTCTCAATAAAATCTGCCAACTGGACATCATCGTTCTTCGAAGCCACCTGTTGACCACATTATTCAAATGCCATATTGTATTAAGAAACTACTAGATTATGACTTGAATGCCATAAACAAGAATTGGAATCTTAAGGAGAGAGATGGATGGTCTTACACTGTGCAGGTTTAGGAGCTTCTCATTGACTAGCTTCTCCAATGAGAGAGCAAGCTCCATGGCTGCAACAACAAACAACATTAAAATTATGCATTCCAAACTTATAAACTCAAACGGAAATATGAACCACAATCACTATGTTAGATGCTAATGAAACCACAATCTCCTCTTTAATAATAACATCACACCAATCTCAGAAACGGGAAAAAAGAAGCTTACCATAGAGAGCATCTCCTTTCTCAGGGTGATCAAACTCAGACTGAGGCAGAACCATGGGCTGTAACTTGACCCTCCCACCACGCTTGTTCTGTAGATCAAGGAAACAAAGGATGTTATCATAAACAATCCTCAAACGATGGGGCTTATGAAAAATGAAATCGTTGGCTAAGAGACCTGATACTCCATCAACAGCTCAGCGTGCTCCCGCTCTTCCACACTCGAATCCTTGAAAAATCTGATTAACAAAACACCAAACCACCCATCAATCAACACACACAGAGTGTTTCAATAAATTAGCAAAGGGATTTCAATAAACTCGTAAGTGTTTCCAGAAAAACTCACTTGGCCAAACCCTTGAGGGCAACATTATCACGATCAAAATACGCATACAGAGCGTGGTAAACGTACGATACGTTATACTCCACACTGCAACAAACGCAAATCCAGATTCATGAGATACAACTCAAAAAGCTACTAATCTCAGGGTTCAAAGCAAAAATGGACTCAATCGACAGATTTACAACACAGAATTGTTCCAATCTATGACTAAAAAAAATCATCAACAATACAGGACGAGTAAAAACGTACTTGATCTGCTCGTTAACAGCGGCTTCGCACTCAGAAGAGTACAAATGACGAGCAAGAGAAAGGTGCTGACCAGATGGAACAAGATCTAGCTCCTTCTTTACCTCTTCGAAAGGCTCGAACACAACGCCGCTCAAGGTGCTTGAACCCTTGGTAGCACGGAGAGCGAAGGAGAGACTCCCGGATTTTCCAGAAGAAACTGCAGGAGACGAGACGGAGGAGAAGAGAGGAGAGATGTCTTTCTTCTCTCCATGAAGGTTCAAGAGTGAGAAAGCAGAAGCAGCCTTGAGAAGCATTTTTGTTGTTTTTTTTTCCTGAAGAAAATTTTCAGATTTATCTCTCTCTCTGTGCAAACGAAATTGGAGGAGAAAGAAAGGGTTTTGTGGTGTGAGGCGACTAGTGGGCGGAAGGAGGTAATATAAATGGATGATGAGGCTATGGATGAACGACACGTGGATGGACGAGATTAAGAGGTGGGTTTAGGAGCGTGTCAGGCGTGTGGTACTACTGCTTTGCTGGAAGATATTTTTTATTTCTCTCCTTGTTTCTTGTGTAAATTTGGACTTTTCCTAATTTTACCTTTTCGGCTTTTTCTGTAAAGAGAAAAAAAAAAGTTCTTGGTCAGGAAAAACGAAATAGGAATAAACTCAATAATGTTTTTGAAAAGATTATAATGTGATTGGGATGATTTGAACAAGCGCAAACCTTACCATTAGTCATTACGAAATATAAAATTCACAATTTTATTTTCTTTGTCTAAAGGTTAAAAAAGAGTTTTAAAATTCATATCATCTTCTAAAAGATATCACTATAGTAAGACACCAAGTGCATTTTGATTGTAAATGTAGTAGAACCTACGTTAGGATTAAGCAAGTGCCTAACTTTGTATGTGTTGATGTTTCAGCAAATGCGTGATCGATCATTTCATTCTTTGCATAGGTCTTGTACTTATTGGAATTTGGTAAAGACGTTCTAACCTTCTTAATGTTTCTCTCCTTTTCGGTATTATATTTTGTGTGCCAATTTGAAACTTACCTAAATATTTTTACTGTATATGGTGAATAGAATGTTGTGTAGTAGCCTTCAGTTTTTCATTCATGCTCAAGAAACAGGAGAGACTACTTGTTGAAACACAAACTATTTACAAACACAAACTGATAGATAAAATGGTTCAAAACACTGAAACAAAGAAGAATCAAACTAGTTGGACGAATTAAAGAATTGCAAAAAAACCTACTATTACTACTCTGCAACATTCCAAAACTACCAAAATTCTCCACTCTTTTCTATTGGCTTGTGGAAGCAGAAGCTTCAGGAACATCAATCAACGGTTCGGATGTTGTTGTTGTTGTTGTCTCTTCAGGTCTAATCTCTCCGAGCTGTGTCATCACTTGTTGAGCTTCAGGTCTTGTTGACGGTGTTGGATCAACACAATGCAACGCCAGTTTCAGTGTATTCAAAATCTCATCACCCATTGTGTTCACATCATTCAACAGCTCCAAATCGAAAACCTCATTAGTCCACTCTTCTTTAACCGCAGTAGCAACCCATTGAGGCAAATCCACGCCGTTTAAGGCCTCACTCGGAGATTTACCAGTCAAAAGCTCCAATATGATCACACCTAGGCTGTATACATCGGTTTTCGTGTTAGCTTTCTTCAGCTTAGAGAGCTCAGGTGCTCTGTAACCTAAAGCACCAGCTGTTGCAATCACGCTTGATCCTGCTGCTGCCGTCATTAGCCTCGAAAGACCGTAATCTGAAATCTTGGCGTTGATGTTCTCATCCAAAAGCACATTGCTTGATGTTAAGTTTCCGTGGATGATATTAGCGTGCGTGTGAAGGTAGAACAAGCCTCGAGCCATTCCCTTTATTAAGCTCATCCTTGTAGGCCAATTGATATGAACATCTGGTCCTCTTGCTGCAATTTCAAGCATGAAAACAGAGTTATGAAATGTTACTTTCTTTGGCAAAAATATTACAACACTTTGTGGCTTTTCTAGCAATAGTTTTAAACTTTACCATGGAGGAATGTGGCAAGACTTCCTCTAGACATGTAATCGAAGACGACAAGCTTCTCTCCCTTGGGGCCTAAGTAATAAGCTCTAAGTGCAAGGAGATTCGGATGCCTGATTCTTCCCAACACATTAATCTCATTCTCGAACTCCTTCTGGCTTTTGGTGATCTTTTCTCTCAACCTCTTCACTGCAACTTGACTTCCATCTTCAAGTGTAGCTTTGTAAACTGTACCATACGTGCTTTTCCCCATAATCTCTGCGGTTGCACACAGAAGATCATCTGCAGTAAACGCCATTGGCCCATCAAAATGAACCAGCTTCCCTCCGGTTTCGCCTCCAGTTTCTGCTTCCCCTCCTTTTTCGGTCTTCCCTGTTGCAGCTCCCTGTCCAGCCTCTCCGCCCTTTGCTTTGGTTTCATTAACTTTTTTCCTCAGCAAGCAACATAGAACACATACAAGGATAAGCATAACTATGAGGAGTGCTCCAGAAGCAATGAGGATGATGTCTTTGGTACTCAGATTCCTGTGGGATGATTTCTTTTCTTTTTCAGGAGACGGTGAGGGCAGAGTTGGACATGGCGTTGAGACACTGTATCCACAAAGCTGCAAGTTACCGACGAAAGAGGAGGCGTTGAACTTTTGGGACAAGGGAGTAGGAACAGGACCAGATAAGTTGTTATAAGAGACAGTGAAGAAGCTAAGGCTTTTCAGATCAGAAATGGAGATAGGAATCTCTCCGGTAAGTTTGTTTTGAGACAAATCCAGATGTGTAAGAGAAGAAATGTTTCCTAGAGATTCAGGGATCTTGCCACTTATACTGTTACTGCTAATATCCATTGTTCTAAGCTTAGTGAGTTTGCTTAACTCAGAAGGCAGGGTTCCACGGATCCTGTTATGACTAAAGGACAACTCTTGCAGCTGAGTTAGGTTGCAGAGTGAAAATGGGAATGGACCAGAGAGAGTGTTGTGACCAAGAGATAAGACACGGAGACTAAGAGACTTACTACCCCAAGTATCTAAGATTGGACCAGAGAGGTTGTTATGGTCAAGAGCAAGAAACTGAAGAGAAGGAGAACGAGAGAGGCTCACTGGGATTTGACCAGAGAGTGAATTGAAGCTGAGATTAAGCCTAAGAAGCTTAGAAGAGTCAGCAAGATTCGGTGGGATAATCTCAGAGAGCAAGTTATTGCTGAGATCAAGCATTTGAAGGAAACGCGAAACACCGAGCGAAGCAGGGATTGAGCCAGTGAGACGATTGTTGAAAAGCTGGACTCCTCTGAGATTAGGAATGAGCCCCAAGGACATTGGAATCGAGCCTCCAAGGTTGTTGTCATGAAGACTAAGCTTGCGAAGAGCTTGAAGCTGTCCGATTTTCTCAGAGATCCTACCACCAAGACTCTTCCATGGGAGTTGAATCACAATGACTTGACCTTGAGCACATTTGATACCAGACCAGCCTCCAGAGCAAGCGCTGAATCCAGAACCGTTCCAGCTTCTCAAGAATCCTCTCGGATCAATCAGCTCTTGTTTAACTGCTTGAAGGCCTTGGTAATCAGCTTGTGTGATCACTACACCGTCCCATGCTTGGCTCGAGCTGGGAGGGACGAAGAAGAGGAGGAGCACGATCAGGTGAAGAAGAAAGCAGCTTCGAAGTGAAGCCTTAGGTTGATCAATGGTGGTGTTGATCATACTTAAAGAAGGGAAATCAAAGAAAGCTTGGTTTTGAGAAATAAACTCCATTAGAAGAGAGAAGAAGAGTTTGAGAATGTTTAAGAGTGAAAAGTAGCTCTGAGGAGGATAGAACAGAGGAAGATTTTGGATTTGAAAGAGTTTTGTAAAGTGAGAGATGTGTTTCGTTGGAAAAGAACAACACAGCACGTGACCATCTTAGAGAGAGAGAGAATCTTGGTGAGTGTTGTTTTTATCTTCTAGTGAGAGAGAGAGAGGAGGGGGAGACAAAGATCAGGTGATGGTAATAAGAGGTTGAGGGGTGGGAACAGTGGCTCTCTGCTTCTTTGCCTATAATACTAAATGAGCTCCAACGGCTAGTTTTCATTTATTCATATTAATTATTTAGTGTTTGAAACTAACACTTTGTTTTCTTCGATGGGGTGTGGTCACTCTTGCTCATGTTATTTTGTCTAACGGTGTTTGTTAAATTTTTTTATTACTAATTAACTACAAAATGTGTCATTGGGAAATTGGAATCACTTATTTTCATAAGATTGTAGATCTTTCTTTTTATAAAAAGGTTTGGTTTATTAGTATCAAAAACGATAAAATCATCAATCACACAATACAAACATGTTGGTTCTGACAAAGATTATAAAATCATAAAACAAAAAATGATTTTGACAAAGAGTATTACTCATAGTTCAAATTTGAACCAGTAAGTAATACGATATTTAACACTCTAATTTACTCGGTTAGTTTGTAACATTTGTGATTTCTTGGATAGAAAATGGAAAACATAAATAAAGTACTAGTTTTGGATGTGAGGTCAACAATATTTTTCTTAATTTTATTCCAAATCTAAAGAAAGAGATCAAAGTATAGTTCGTCTGAATAAAGTAAAATAAAGCAGACACAGCATTTATTTTAAATTCTTTTTTTGTTATTGTGTTTTGCAGACCAGCTTCGTTTAGTGCGCCGGAGCTGGTGCCCTAAATGGACACGAACAACGAACCGCGCTCCTTCACTTCTTCTCCCAACGGCTATATTTTTGTGGGACCTACAAGCCAGTGGATCACACTCACTAGTGAAGAAGCCCAAAGTTAAAAACGAAGAAGACCATTTTCATTTATATTTAATGACTTATATAGTGCCCCTTCGAACTGGGAAGTAATAAAAGTGGTGTACTAGTTTAAGAAGAAGAAGACGCCCTACTTTTTAAACTTGAAAGTGAAACTTTTCTCGTCTTACAATTATTATAAAAAGAAAAGAGGAGAAGGTTTGGGTGTGTGTCCCGTACGAGGTTATCATATTATGTTATTGTTGACGTTTGATCTATCTTTGCTTTTGTTTCTTTACTACTATTACTAATGCTAGTTGCTGCTGATTTGTACACATCTAACTCGATTGGTATGCAGCTTTTTAAAATATATGTATCTTCCTTGCATATACATTTTCCAATTTGAACACATTTTTCAATTTGAACACATCTTCTCAATCTCCAAACCAATCCTGACCATTTCTTTTGCAAAGGTTTGAAAGAGTAAAATTCTGGAGATACTCTCTCTTACCTTGAACTCATGTGATGTCATGTATTGTATTTGCTATCACAAGAACTGTTTGTCTCAAGTCTCACATTATTCTTGCATAAAGTTTGGTGGAATCGAAACAAGATGGTTTTTCAAGGAAGCTTTTATCAAACTGATTAAGCTGTTGCTAAAGCAATTAGAGTTCTCCTTGAAATCTTGTTAGACCCGGGGGAATTGAAGACCAAAACTATACCAGATTACCCACTAAGTTCAGAAAATCTTTCAAAGTTAAGTATACACAAACTAATAACCATCAACCTCGAACACCAAAGCTTAGCCTAATTTTGTAACCAATCATCAATGCCTTACTCTTTTAATCAGATCACCTTGTGTTCACCAAATCCTTTAAACATTAAGTGCTAGATTTCCAACTATAGTTTGATTCTCGTTTTGTAGATCTATTGTTATCATGCGTTTCCATATTCTTCACCTTTAGTATGGTAGCAAACAACAACACCAACTTAAGATATATAAGTATTGTGAGCTCGATTTGACCACCATATCATTCACATAGCTAGATCTAACCTATAAATTAAATTTTGGCCATCTGATCAAGCTTCCGGAAAAGGAAAACCAAGGCAATCATATCTGTTCCATACTTACATACTGAGCAGATATATGAGATAACCGCAATTAAAGAAGAACTAGCCACTAGACCATCAATAAAACAACTATGGTAAACGCAAGAGATTTCATGTGCGCTGTATTGAATATAATAACAAATCTCAAATAAGAAGAAGACACACCAACTACTAAAAAGAATTTTACCAGTCCTACCCTAACGATCCAAAGCGCTGTTCTCTAATTGACTGGCTACAATCCTTTACAAGCCACAATGAAATGGATCATTTAAACAAAGAATATCGAACATGCACCAAGAAGTATATCTAGACAATCTACAGAAATCACCTAATAAGTTCGAACACCATATAGCCTTTTGAAACTACTAAGTTTTCTAGCTAAGTGCTTCCAGATCAAACTATTATGTCACTGAATCTCCATTAAACTGCTAAAGAATCCTAAACACAAATAGAACCACCCCAATTGCAGCAATATCCTTATTCGTTTTGGTGACCAATGCTCTGAAAGTCACTGCCACTGATAAAGGAAACAAGAGAACAGACTGAATGAAGGGAGATGAAAATTTAACAGTGAATCCCAAATTAGGAGAACGATAGAGAAAGAGCAACTTTGAGTTTTCTACATCTGAACATAAAAGTGTCGAGCCACCAAATAGAAAAACAACACAAGACGAAGCAGATATTGCAACCAAAAATTCGTAGTTCTAAGTATGCTGAGCTTCGTTACGAATCTACATTCAAATCAACAACACCAAATCCCTAAAATCAGTACGGAGTAACCAATCATAATTGTAATTAAAAGGCACGAATACTCATCTCAACTCCAGGTTGCTTCGTTGACGAGATCTGAATCGAATCCAGCTCTTAAACTCTCCCCGAGACAGCTGCAGCAGCTGAGGTAGCAGAACCTCCAAGGAATGAGAGTAATCCAGCATTGGCAGGCTCTTGATCGTCCAAGAAGAGATCATCAGGAACCACAAAAGCACCGTGTACGCAAACAATCGCAACACCAACCATAAGCGCAGAGGTTAAGAGAGATCCAACGCTCGTCATAAACACGACGACGATCGTAGACAAGACAAGAGCAAGCAAGGTCTCTCGATCAGAGAAAGTGCGACCGAAGACGACCAATGGCTGATCTGATGGCCGGAAGAGGTAAAGGAACATCCACCCACTTAGTAGACCGAGCAGCACGAGAAGGGAGAGAGGATGAGAGAAAAGCGAAAAGGCGAGCACGAGGGAGACGATGGCGACGTAGTTAACCTTGAAGTAGGCGAGATTCTTCCTGATCCGGGACAAGGCATCGGTGAGAGATTCAGGACGAGCCATGGAACTCCGATCGACTAGCTCCGTCCAAGGACGACGCTGTGACAAGCCATCACGGATCGAGGTGGAGAGGCGTGAGAAGAAAGTACGAAAAGCAGGTGTGTTGATTGGAGGCTGAGATTGAACAGCTTGCTGATTGGTGACAGGTAGCGTCGGTGGAGTTGCCATGGCGGTGGCGCGTGAAGGTTAGATGCGGCTGATCTGGCCCTGAGCTTCCCGATCTGTAAGCTTGAACGAAAATAATCAATAGTTCTGTAGTTCTGCTCAATCAGAGCTCGTGTAGATTAGATATTTTGAGGGCCTGAGTCTGACTCTGACCATAAAGGTTGAGCCGGCCCAAATACTCAAAGTCGCCGGTTCGATTCCGCCTCTTGCCTTTTTCGCAGTAATCTTTCCTTTTTTTTTTTTGGGGGATTTTTTTAATCAAACCCTAAAAATACCGAGAGCGCACGACTAACCTTGACGTCTTTACTGACGGGCGCCACGGTTTGGTGGTTCGTTCTTCATCTTCCGCCGATTTCTTCACTCGGCTCTGTTTTCTTCTACTTCTTCTTCTCTTGAACACTGTAAAACGACATCGTTAGCACCATGTTTGATGAAAGCAAGTTCGATGTCAATCTCAAGCTGTGGGCTCTAAGAATTCCCCGTGAACTCTGCAAAAGTGCAACTCGCATTCTCAATGGGTACGTTTCTTCAATAACACAAATTTAGTGAGCTAAGAATCATATGACTTTCAAAAATGTGTTCAATAAGTTCAAATTTTCGAGAATAATAAGTTCAATGAGAAAGTGGAGTTAGCAGCCATTACTTTTTAGTGTGGTTAGTATTCGTACTGATGAAAAGGAACATACTTGGTTTGATAACTTGTAGATACATGCTCAACATGCCACGAATTAAGCCCATCACTGAAGATCCTTCATGTGAAAAGACTCGTTTGGTGATATTGTCCGACAACGTTAAAAGTGCTGGTAAGAGTTAAATTCTTTATCTGGGAATGTGTCTAGGAAATAGTGGGGATTAGTCGTATTAACCAAGTTTTTCTTTGTTATAGGACAGATTTGTCGGAGATACCCGAGGAAAAACTAAACCAGCTTAAGAAACTAAGTGAATTTGAAGTTGTTCCTCATTCGGTCTCTCTTGGATATTCCTATTGGAGTGCAGGTAAGCCAACAATTTCATTAGGAAGATTTCTTCCATTACCGTTTGTATCTTGGAATTAACAGGAATGCTATCCTTTATGATCTGTTTGAAACAAGCTTCTCTTGCGCTCTTTAATCTAAAGCTTTTTTGAGTTTTTATACATACGTACGAGAAAAGTTGGTTACCATTTCCTTCTAACTGTTGCTGGCCCGTTTCTTCGCCAATTGGTTTGTGTTTCCCTGACATTTGCAATCCGAATCAATGGCTATTCGTAAATGGTCTAACGGTTTCTTGGGTTCTATTAGCCTAAAAATTCTTATTTCCTTAAGTCCCTATCCTGTTTAGGTGATATGAAATCTTCTGATATGGTTTTTTCCTCGCAGATCACATATTGAAGCAGATTCTACCAGATGGAGTGGACATACCTTCATCTTTTGAAACGATAGTTAAGTATTAAATTTCTGTTTGCTTCTGGAACTTACCTACTTTAGATTAGAAGAAATCTGTTTGCATGGTCTAGCAATTTTTGTGTGCATTTGTTATAACTTATTTCCATCTAGTCTGCAACCTAAACACTAATGGGTATATTTTCTTCTTAAGTTTTCAAGTATTATAAATCCTCTCAAGAGAACCAACATCTCTTTGCTTACTAAGTGCAGGTCATATTGCCCACTTAAATCTACATGATGAGCTCCTTCCATTCAAAGATGTTATTGCAAAGGTTATCTATGATGTAAGTTTTTGATGTTCTGTTCATGATAGCATTTATTTATTTATTTAATAATTGCATCTCGTGTCATCACAGCAAAGGCATCTAACCTTCTGGTGGTCTTTTATATTTCTAGAAAAATTATCCAAGAATCAAGACAATTGTGAATAAAGTTGGGACTATCAGTAATGAGTTTCGAGTTCCAAAGTTTGAAGTGCTAGCTGGGGAAAATGATATGGAAACAGAAGTGAAACAATATGGCGCAAGATTCAAGCTGGACTATGGCTTGGTATATTGGAATTCTAGATTGGAGCATGAGCACATGCGGCTTTCGTCTTTGTTTAAACCTGGAGAAACCGTGTGTGATATGTTTGCTGGTATTGGGCCTTTTGCTATTCCAGCTGCACAAAAAGGATGCTTCGTTTATGCAAATGATTTAAATCCAGACAGTGTTCGGTACTTGAAGATCAATGCAAAGTTCAATAAGGTTGATGATTTTATTTGTGTGCACAATATGGATGCTCGTAAATTTTTCTCTCAGTTGATGACGGTGTCAACTTTTGAGGGTAATCTGCAATCGGTGGCTAATGGTAAAACAAAGGAAGCAGTCGGTCGAGGAGGTAGTGGATTTAAACTATATTTTTGCATTATAGTTAGCATAAAGAATAACATTAACGATTGGGGTCTCTATACTGTGCTTAACTATAGCTGAGACTAAATTTGAAGATAAAAATGTTGGAATTGGTGGAGAGGGGATACATGAATCCAATGCAACCATAAATGAGGCTCTTGGTGCAATTAAGAAGCCCTCTGGTATTACAGAGACAGGTAAGAATTGTCTCAGAATTTTTTTCTAAGACATTCTATTAGCCTTGGGGATCATCACAATTCACAAGTATATATTATTTGAGTGCAGAAAATGGGGTAGGAAAAGACCGCAAGAGTATAGAAGGACACGCAAATAAGAGGTTGAGACAAACATTGCTTCCCATTACAAAGCCGTGGGAACACATCGACCATGTTATCATGAACCTTCCAGCTTCTGCCTTGCAGTTTATAGGTATGCTATCAACGATTCTAGATCTTTTGTTAAATTTGGGACTATTTTTAGACTCTTACATAGGAAATTGCAGCTCACAAAATAATGATCTTGATTCAGTATTCTGGTTCATGGTTATATTGTAATGCTGTTTATGCTATGTGAAAAGAGAGTTTCATTAACTACATTTCACATTAGCAAGTTAATTAGGACCAGGGTCTATATAAATAGAACATGCATCATGTTTTAAGGCTTGTATGTGTGATTTGTTCTTCAACTCTAGTTTTTTTTTCTCTTCATATTACTAATGCATATAAGCTCTGTAATTGTTTGTGCAGATTCTTTTACTAATGTTATTCAAAGGAAGTATTGGAAAGGACTTCTTCCTTTAATTCATTGCTATTGTTTCATTCGTGCAAGCGAAACGACAGAGTCTATAATTGCAGTAAGTATCAGCCACTCCCTCCTGCTTGTCCCTTGTAGTTTTGTTCTCTTCACTATCATATCTTAATACCAAAGACCTGTTAGCAAATTTCGGCATGCCTTGAAAATCTGAAATACTACTTCTGTGACACTTTTAAGGAAGCTGAAACTGCTTTGAAGTTCCATATAGAAGATCCAGTCTTCCACAAGGTTAGAGATGTAGCTCCAAACAAGGTAAGATCCCACTCATCTGTTTTTCATGAATGAATTTTGGTATATTATCGTCTTTGGTTCCTGAGCATGGATATTTTTGTACATTGCAGGCGATGTTTTGTCTAAGCTTTAGACTACCTGAAGCATGCATGAAACAAGAAGAGTAAAAGACATTTGTAGGAAAAAGAACAGAACCAAAAACGCCTTTGGAATCTCTTCTCGTTTTGTTTTATGGTATCGTAATAGATCAGGAATCATTAATGAATGAGATGAGAGTCTTCTTGTGTCATAGGATGTTATATAGCAGCAGTTCTAAAATCCATTGCTACAAATGATTGAACTGAATTGTCAAAGATTTTTGGTTGGTTTTAAACATTGTTCGTAGTTTGTACCTTCACACTAATAAAGTGTTGTTTGCCCATACCTTGTGAAATAAGTTCATAGAAGATGCTGAAGAGTCAAGACTCTGAGAGTGTAGTTGACATTAGCAAAAAGACTGTTAGAAAAGATGAAAGCACATTTAGTAATAATATACTCTTGACCACATATTCACCATTAAGAGTGGGCTTTTACACTGGCGCATGTTAGCAAGAATAGTGACGGACCGTAGTGTAGATGCGGCGGACGGAGTAACCAAAGAAGAAGGCCGCTCAAAATAATTAAAGTTGCCCAACCGTCACATCTTCTTCAACCGATCTTAGCTCAAATAACCAACCCAATTCTATTTTGGTGTTAATTCAACGAACCCAAAACCTTTTTCTTTCTCCTTTCTAGCTCAAGCTTTCTTCTTCCAATGGCGTCTTCTGCAGCTCTCGGATCTCTTCATCGTGAGTCTCTCCCGCTCTGTCTCTTTGCTTTCCTTTCGTTCGTTGTGTAAAATTATAACAGAGGACCATCATTAGAAATGTATAGATTGGAGCTATCAGTTAGTGACATTGCTGCTTCTTAGAGTGTAATTATACAGTCTTAAACTATCTGAGGTTTTCATGTTTTGATAGATCCGATCTCTTTGTCGCAATTGGTATTTTTTTGTGACTGGATAAGGTTTCGATTTCGGATCTTGAATGTCTGATTATTTTTGTATCAGAGATGCGTTTCTCGTCTAGTGTCGGAATATTTCCATTGGTCTTTCTTCAGGTGCTTTGTTGGATTTTAGGCTATTAAGTGGGATTTTTCTCGTTCCATTTTACAGAGACTTTAGGGTCACAGAGTGAGCTTCACTTGCTTTCTGGAAACTGGTCTGCCTCTGGTACTTCTTGTGTACCACGGTGGAGATTATCCAACAGGAGCAGCAATTACACGCTTGTGTTACGTGCAAAGGCCTCTAAAACTTCGATAACTACCAAAAGCGATGGTGAGTTTTTCTTCCACAATTCTTCTACATGTTTGTATTGCTGGTTGATTCCTTTCTCACTGTTAGGAACTTAGGATTGGAATGGTTATGCCACTATGCCTCATCACTTAGCTAACACGATCCATTGGCTAAATATGCTACTAGTCTCTTTTGCTCTTAAAGAAATTCTGTACTCAATTACCTAAGGCTAGCTGTAATTCTTCATCTTTCCCAATTGTCTTGGAACTAGGGAATACAGTGATGTGAAGATTGGAACATTTTCATTTCTTTCCTGGACTTTTGCTCATCTCTGGTTTTGCAGATTCATCTGATGCGACTGTGTCAAACGGGAAGAAATCTGTTCGACGGACTACTTTCCCGAAAGAAGTGGAGGTTTCTTCCTTTGCCTTATTTGGGTTTAGATACTAGTTTCTTTAGCTTATAAGTTTGGTAGGTGATGATTTGACGATGTCCTCAAATATGCACTTTCTAGATCGTCAGGATTTTGGATGCATAACTTCAGGCAATTTACTCTTATAATTTTTCAACATGATGTATGGACCTTTCTTTATATATTGTTCGATGAATTATATGTTTTATTTTTCAACTGTTGCAGGCACTGGTCCACGAGATGTGTGATGAGACTGAGGTTGCTGTCCTGAAACTCAAGGCAAGTTTCTCTGGCGTTAACTTTAACTTTACTGTTTTCGTAAACTTTTCTTTAACCCTATGACGAAGACAATTGCAAGTTATTTTACAACAGTGATGGAGCTAATATCACTTATTTGAGTTGAGGCTGACTAGTCTCTAACGTAGTTTCCAACAATTTCAATTTCTGATGCTATCTTTCACTACAGGTTGGAGATTTCGAGATGAACCTAAAACGGAAGATTGGCGCAGCCACAAACCCCATTCCCGTGGCGGATATTTCTCCAAGCGTAGCACCTCCTATTCCTTCTGAACCCATGAATAAATCTGTTTCTTCTGCTCCCAGCCCATCTAAAGCAAAACCTTCTGAGAAAGTATCTCCATTTATGAATACATCATATGGGAAACCAGCAAAGTTGACAGCTTTGGAGGCATCTGGATCAAACAATTATGTTCTCGTCAAATCTCCCTCAGTATGAGATCCATCACCATATTTAGTGATTGCTTTCATATCCCTTTCTCGCATTCTTCTTGTTTAATTTGATCTTGAATCTTCTTCTCTTTTCTAAAGGTTGGCGAGTTTCAGAGATGCAGAACTGTAAAAGGAAAGAAACTATCTCCTACCTGCAAAGAGGTAATTGACTCTAAACTCTTTTTCTTCTCTTAAAATGAAAAGACAAATAAGATTAAAGAATGTCCCATCCTAAATCCTCAGGGTGATGAAATAAAGGAAGGCCAAGTTGTCGGATACTTACATCAGTTGGGAACAGAACTTCCAGTGACGGTAATAGCTTAAGCTAATGTATCCATCTCTTCTTCGTAACTATCAAATATTGTACTCATCGATCTTTGCTATTCATGAAACAGTCGGATGTAGCTGGGGAAGTCCTCAAGTTTCTTTCAGATGAGGGAGGTAAACATTTTGAGTATTCAAACCGTATCAATTAATATGAACATTCAGAAATCATATGAGAAAATTAATATAAACTCTCATGCTTCATGTAAAAACAGACTCTGTAGGTTATGGTGATCCTCTGGTAGCGGTCTTACCATCGTTCCACGATATCAACATCCAGTGAGAATGATGGTTTCTTCAGCCCAATTCCGCACCAAATGAATAACCTTCATCATCTCGAGACTGTACTATTCGTCTTGTCCTGTGTTTCTTTTTTTGAAGATTGTAGTTGCAAAGAGTCTATTTTGATCTTGCTCTTATCATTTGTCTTTTGTCACGTAACCTTGTGTTTTTGTTTTTGGTCACGTAATGTTTTTTTTTCTGCACCAGAAAAAAAAAAAGAGAGTTGTGGTGAATTTTGTTTTGTTATTAGAAATGACGTGGCTATCTTATCTTCCCCGATCATCAGAAGAAATTCAGAAGAAAATTGACGAATGTTTGTTTGATTATAATTATATTAACCGTGAAGAACATAAATTTAAAGTTGCTCTCTCTTATTATTGTATTTGTATCGGCTCGCTCGATGTATGTGTGATAAAGCTGACGTGTACAAACGGAGCTCTCTGCTCTTCTCGGAGAAATGAAACTCACCACAAATGATCTCTTCGTTTCTCAACCATTATTTCACTGCCCTTGCTCCTCCCACCGTCCTCGCCGTCGCCGTCTCCATGGCCTTCATTTTCCGATCAACCTCAGTAATAAGAAGAACAATTCTTTATCCGTCGCTGCTCTTTCTGATTCCGATCTTCCAACACAAGCCGCTTTCTCTCGCCGCGCTATTCTTCTCTCGCCGCTCCTCGCTTCAGCTGCTTCCTTGATTCTCAAGCCGTCTGTCTCTTTAGCCTCCGAGGAGAGCTCGTCCGCTACAGTGAATTCGCCTGCGGAATCAGCAGCTCCTCCTGCGACCGCCACCGCTCCATCTCCGCCGCCTGCGGAAGAGACTATAACCTCGAGAATCTATGACGCTACGGCCATTGGTGAGCCGATGGCTATGGGAAAAGATAAGAAGAAAGTGTGGGAGAAGCTGATGAACGCGAGAGTTGTGTACCTCGGCGAGGCGGAGCAGGTGCCTACCAAAGACGACAAGGAGCTTGAACTCGAAATCGTTAGAAACTTGAGGAAGCGATGTGTTGAGAATGATAGCGAGCGTCAAATCTCTGTTGCACTAGAAGCATTCCCTCTCGATTTGCAGGACCAGCTTAATCAGTACATGGATAAGAGGTTTGGCTACACATTCTTACTTCGAGCTCGAGATTTTCGTGATCCTGAGTAATTTTCGTTTTTGGTGGCAGGATCGACGGAGAGACATTGAAGTCTTATGTGACAGATTGGCCTCCTCAACGCTGGCAAGAATACGAGTCTCTTTTAAGTTACTGTCGCGATAACTCTGTTAGACTAATTGCTTGCGGCACTCCTCTCAAGGTAGAGTTTTTGGATCTAGTTTAACTGTTTGGAATCTTTGGCTCATCTTTATTGTTTGGTTTGGTTTGATTTTATTGTTTTAATTCGGATCTAGAGTGCTTTTATGATATTTTTTTGAATAACTGTTGGACTCTCACTGATTGATGTTTGTGGGAATAATAATTATAGTCTTCACTGTGTAACTGAGTATGGACATGTTAAAGCTTTTAAAGACTAAAGAGAATGAGCTTCTCAGAAATTTTGCTTTTGTTTGTTACTCTTATAAGAGATGAAAAAACTCTGCTTAATCTGATGTAGGTTTTAAGAACTGTCCAAGCAGAGGGTATCCGTGGACTTTCAAAGGCTGAGCGTAAATTATACACTCCCCCTGCTGGTTCTGGGTTTGTCTCAGGATTTTCTTCATTCTCACGGAGATCTACATTCGATATGAGCCTCCCGACACAGATTGTTCCGTTTGGACCAAGCTCTTATTTGTCGGCACAAGCAAGGGTTGTCGAAGACCATACAATGTCACAAGTTATTTTACAAGCAGTAGCAGATGGAGGGGGTACTGGTCTACTGGTAGTGGTGACAGGGGCAAGTCATGTTGAGTATGGTTCAAGAGGAACAGGTTTGCCAGCAAGGATCTCAAGGAAGTTTCCAAAGAAAAACCAAGTCGTTGTATTACTTGATCCTGAAAGACAGTACTTGCGAAGAGAGGGCGAAACTCCAGTTGCTGATTTCTTATGGTATTCTGCTGCAAGGCCCTGCAGTAGAAACTGTTTTGACCGAGCCGAAATTGCTAGAGTAATGAATGCTGCTGGCAGGAGGCGAGATGCCCTTCCACCGGTAAGAATCATATGGTTGCTTTCATTATATTGACGACCTGTGCTCTTGTATCTTAAAATCTCTTATCAATTGATTTGATAAGCAGTTCAATTCTTTTCCCCAATTTTTTCTTTGTTGAGCATGACTTTGGATTAAGCTTGTATATGACAAGTTCAGAATGATGCAATCTATTCCATGCTTTCCAGGATATTCAAAATGGATTAGACCTTGGTCTGGTGTCACCTGAGGTTCTGCAGAATCTATTTGATTTAGAGCAGTATCCTCTTATTTCTGAGCTTACTCAGCGGTTCCAGGTATATACATTCTGGTTTGCATGGAATATTTATGCTTTGTGCTCTATATTGATATAGCAGAGCTTGCATACCAGTCTAGTTCATACATTACTTGTCCTATATTTATCAAGGTTCTTGAATAGTTTAGTGGAAATTCAATAACGACGATTTACTGTGAATTTGTGATACAGGGTTTCCGAGAAAGGTTGTTGGCTGATCCAAAATTCCTGAATAGGTTAGCTATTGAAGAGGCTATATCAATAACAACCACACTTATAGCACAATATGAGAAGCGGAAAGAGAATTTCTTTGAAGAACTCGACTATGTTATAACTGATACAGTGAGAGGATCAGTCGTTGATTTTTTCACAGTTTGGCTTCCTGCGCCAACTTTGTCTTTTCTATCATATGCTGACGAGACCACCGGACCAGACAGCATAGAATCCCTGAAAGGCCTCCTAGGATCCATACCTGATAATGCATTTCAAAAGAGTCTTGCTGGAAGAGAGTGGACTCTGAATCTTAGAATTGCCTCAGTTGTTGTTGGTGGCTTGAAGCTTGCTGGTGTTGGAGTTGTTTCCAGTTTTGCGGCTGTGGGAGGGTCAAATGCATTGAATGTGGTACGGAAGTTCATTAAACCCGAGTTGGTTGTTGCTCAGAAGCCAAAGAGGTCTCCTCTTCTGAAAACGGCAATGGTTTATGGAGGTTTTCTGGGAGTATCTGCAAATATTCGTTACCAGGTATGATGACCCATTCTGCTCGACAGTGATGGTGTATTTATGTTACTTTGTTGTCTTGGCTAAGGGAGAGCGTTGATGGAAAGACATTATCATTTGATTTATTCCTCTAACATGAAAGTGTCTTTATATGCAGATAATTGCTGGATTAATAGAGCATCGTCTATCTGATGAGCTTTCTTCTCAACCTCTACTTGTAAATACGATTTCATTTGTTGTCAGGACACTTAATTCATATTTCGGAACACAGGTCAGTCTTACATGCCTGTATATTTTATTTCTTTTTCCTCTTTTTTTTTATTTCCTTTTCTCCTTTAAGCATAGTGTCCTGAACCACTTATTTTGGAAGTCCTATTGACTTGATCCCAACTTTTGATAAAAATGTGGCAGCAATGGATTGATCTTGCACGGTCTACTGGTCTGCAAACTCAGAAAAGCATTCCACCCCCTACCAAAGTTCCAGAGGCTTTGGAAGAATCTACGGTGGAATGCGATACTACTGCTGAAGAGGAAAGTGTTGACAAGCTCAATAATCAATGATGCTGGTAAGGCTTCCCCACTAGTTATCAATGCATAATTTTTTGCCAAAAGCCTTAGATGATATAAATGAGGATAATAACTTTTAATCAGTCATTTTTATAGGATGGTGAAAAACTGTAACACTCTTAGTTGACAAATATTTTTGTACAGGAGTTGGAGATGGTATCTCTGTTGGCAATAAGTTGTGGTCCAGAAATACATTGTGGAGTCCGGAACAAGAATTCAGCAAACCTGTTGTGTATGAGTCAGCTGCATTTTGTTTAGACACGTAGCATCATGTATACTGTTTTCTTTCTGGAATTAAAGGCTTTGTCAATGAAGCTTACGTTAGTTACTGATACACAGTAAAAATCAGGAATCTTTGTCCATGCAGTGCAGATATGTTGAGTGTAGGTACCAACTGGAGAAATTTTTTGAAGGTCTTCGTGTGACTCGACATCAATCCTGATAAGTAATTTCCAGATTTGAGGGTGGTTATATCTACAAATTTTTGTGTGCTCAAAAAATACACTGTACTAATACAGCAATGGATGGTGGACTCAAAACCAGCGGTATATAAGTTTCTGCATGTTCACTATGCCAGGTACATTTTGCAAAACTTACTATCTATTCCAATAATATATGTGATTTTTTATTGATTTGGTTTTACTATGTTGCATGTCATGTTCAAGGAACTATACAGGTGTGGAAGGTGCTAAAGACAGTTTTCCTACATTTACAATCAAGAACAGACATTATCACCTACAGGCCACAGTTCAGTTCCTCTGATAAAACCTGAACATCAAGAAGCACAGCTGTGATCGTATCACACTAATTTTTCTCCTTTGAATTCCAGCAAAAGAGCCTTTCACTCACACTCACAGCATCATTACCCGGGTTTGGTAAATGCAACCGACCTGCTTGCATAGGTTTTTCTTTTCTTGTTGTATCTGTTTTTGCCATAGGACATGAGTGCCATAGGACATGTGTGCCATAGGACATGAGTGCCATAGGGCATGAGTTCATAATAGAATTTACTTGATAATTTTCATTGTTGTTAGCTCTTCAACCCACTATAAACCCCACGAAAGTAGACAATCTCATTAGAGATGTTCTTAATCAAATACTTTATCGAGAAGAAAAAACTATGCAAACAAAGATTAGAGTACAAACCCCAAAAACTAAACCTGCGGCTGCAAGCATAAAAAACAATGAGAGAAACAACCAAAGACTTTCTACTTTTTCCAATAAAGCATTCTTAAACGTTATTTTTTTCCAACTGGCAATATCAAAAGAAAGAAGCAATCCCAATGGGAGATCCTGTGATGAACATCTCTTAGAAAGAAAAGTTTGATAACCAAGGAATAAAAAACATAACAAAAGGTCTTAACTAGAGCCTTAAGGTCAACACTGACTGCAAATTTCTCCTCATCCTCTTTAAGCACGAACACCACGGTTGAGACTCACCATACGGCTTGAGCCATCCATTTGCATACCTCTGTTTCCTGAACCAACTCTTCCTGCATACCCTCCTCCTCGGTTCTGCCCTGACCACTGACCATTTTGTCTTCCTCCACCATAACCAGATCTGCTACCTTGCCTTCCTTGTCCATAATTTGTCTTGTCTTGCCAATATCCACCACCACCTGATGCTGCTCCAGCATAGTCCTGATTGTTGTCCCTTCTCCTTGAACTCAGATCCAGACCACCTCCACCGGTTCTAGATTCCATTGCCCTTTCATTGCTTTCTGCCAAAATTGAGAGTTTCTCAGTTAACTGGAAAGCCAATGACTGTAATCTGCTGTGTTGCACTTCATGAAAGACTATGCATTGAGTTGGCTGGTCCCAGCTTGCATGAAGCTCCTCATTAATCATCATCTTGCTCACAATGCTGTGGACCTGTGGCTCAGGGACGTCAAACATCTTGGCCAGCTGATCAAGACTTAAGGACTCGTAGGAGCTAGAGTATGTGAATAGGTAAGTCCTTAGAGCCTCTTCTTTGATCCTATCTTTCACCATATCGAGGATACTATCACGGTTCTTGAGCAGCCTCCAGACATCAAGAGAGTTCAAAACTTCAAACGCCTTTTGGAAATCCCCTTTGGTCAGGGCTCTGGTGGCTGCCATGACGTGGTCACGGACATTCTCAGGCGGTGCTGTGAATGCTTGCCTTTCACTGATCTCAAGCAGGCGACGGAAATTCTTGCTAATCACTCTGCGTTTGGCATCATGGGAGTTTGCAGCCATGTTTGGGACTTCAAGTAGCATGGCACAGATGAGATGAACTGCCTCCAGGAGCTCAAGGTTTAAGTGCATGTGGTACGGCATTTGTCTTCTCCTTTCCATCCTTTCCTGGTAAAACCAAGAAAAGTTCATATCACATATATATACTGAACAAATCAACATGACCATAAATATTTATGCTGAAATGGAGAAAATGGACAGTGCGAAAAGGTAACAAAACGAAGAACCCCAAAATGCATCAGTCCTTGTAATTAAAATTATATGATCAGAAATAAGGTTTGAGTCAGAATTCTATGATCAAAAGGATTTATTTCACCATCTATATGTATTAGAAGATCTTAAATCAGAAGAAGAAAAAAAATGATTACCTGCTCTGGGGTCTTTTCATGGTATCGGCTTTGCGAGACACCTTGGGCAAGCAACTCCCTCACTCTTTGACCAGAGTACAGCTCGGAAAGGCAGCTATGGGACTCAGTGATCATTCCAACCCGGAAGGCGCAAAGACCAAGCTGCGCCATGGTTCTATTAAAAAGAATCTGTGTTGAGATGTCCATGTGCTGGACGTTGTCTTGCAGATGACTCATCAACAAGAGGTCTCTAGCAGTCACAAAGTTGTCCATTAACGCATGGTGATTAATATCACATAGCATTGCACGCGCTTTGGTCCGCTCATCTCCATTTCTGTAGATAAGGGACACAAGAATGTCCATCATAGCACGGCTGCTCTCTGGGAAGGTAGGCTTACGAGGAACAACCTCGGGAACAACGATGAATGAAGTAGGAGGTCCACTTTCCTCTTTGGCCTCCTCAGTTTCTTCTTCTTCTTCCACCATTTCTGCCAATTTCCTCATAGCATCATAAACTTCCTGAGGCTTGTAATATATTGACTCAACTCTTCTTAAGGCTACCTTTGCAGCAGCTTTAAAATCACCCATCCGCTCGAAATAGTCCTGGATGTTCTGAGCAAGGGCCAAGAACATCGGCTCATCCCGCAGTCTCTCAACATACTCACGTGTGTGGGGATCAATGCATTGCAAACTCTTGAAAAACTCAGTGTCAATCCGCTCCAAGAATGCAACCAAATTTCCCCAGACCCGAATTTTTCCATCATAATCAGCAGGCTTTGAAGTTTCATTCTCATCAGGTTCAATTGTGTCATCCACAACAATGTTATTGTATTTGACAAGAATATCCAGTATGGTGAGCATGTTAAGCACACATTTCTTCCAGACATTGATAGGCATGTGCCCGCTGAGACCTGGATTCACATCAAACTGTGCTGAAATAACGCTAAACAAGATTTCAAGCTTCTGCGCAGGAGTCTTGGCAATCTTTGTCAAGTGCGTAAGCTGATCAACTAGCTCAAATCGAGCAGTGCCCTTTTTCCCACGAGCAGCCACAATTTCCTTAAACTTCTTGTTGACCCAGTCCCAAGTAATCTCTTTAGGATCTTTGTTAATCAGCTTCTCCATAAGCTTATCTTTTTTGCTCAGCATCTTCTCCCAAGAAAGATTATCAGCAGGTTCATCTATCTCCTCTTCAGACTCAGGGTCAACGTTACCATTGTCCTCAGAATCATCTTCATCTTCCTCATCTTCTTCATCGTCCTCTTCAGGCTCTTTCTCATCCTCGACTTCTGGAGACTCGCGATATTTGTTGATATCGTCTTCATACTGCTTGTTGTTTTTCTTCAATTTCTGTTTCATTGAGTTCAAAGCCTTGGAATTACTGGTGCTCATCTTCTTCTTTGCTTCCTTATTAGCCAGAGCTTCATTCAAGAAATCCTCCAACATCACAAGCATCTTGATATACAGGGTCGGAGGCTTCACAGCCTCAGTAATCCTCATAACCTTCTCAAGCTGTTTGTTGACCTTATCGAAGTTTTCTTGGAGGCTGACCCAATCATTGATCTTCACAGCATTCTTCATCTGCTCAACGGTGGAGGTCATCTCCTCAAATCGTTTATCTTTAGCAGGCTTAACCACACGTTTGGTATCAAGATCTTCTTCATCCTCACTACCACTTTGAAGGTAACGGTTATTGATGTCGTTATTCTGAACCTCGGGAACCTCTTCGTCAATTTCACTCTCATCTTCACTTTCACTTCCACCCTAGGAACATAACAAGAGATCATTAAGAAACTGAAGCAAGTAACGAAAGTTTACAAGAGACGTATATAAAACAAAAGGTCTGATCAAGGAAACCTGAGCGAAAAAACGAGACGTCATCTTCTTTAGCTGGAAAGGGAAGCAACAAGAACCTGATACACCAAATAGTAAGCAATTTGAATAGCGAAGCAGATGATATATACACAAGTGCATCAAATCCATTCTAATAACCTATAATATTAGGATACAAATATGTCTCAACCTAGATTTGAAACGAATCAATCGTATCACAATAAACCAAACTCGAACCGAAAAATTTGTTGAGCGGGTTGAGGAATGAAGAAATTACCTTGATTGAGACGATGGAGATTTGCGAAGGCAGCTGCTTGAAGAAGATGATGAATCTAAAAGAAAATGTGGCGTAGCCGTCAAAGGCTTTTTGTTGCAGATCGAGATAAAATATATAGAATTAGGGTTTTCGTCATTTACTCATTTTTGAACCGGATTCGATTTTACTCTACCGAAGTGACTGATTCTATTAAATTATACAAACCGAATTGGTCGAACCAGGACTAATTGGCGTAGTGATGGTTGAATTAATTGAGAAAATAACCGGTTCTATCCTTTTTGATCATCATAACTTGTTTGCAGTTGCAGGTGGTGATCATAAAATATTTAACGTTTTCGATTATTCATTTATTACAAGATTTTTTTCTATATCGTTCTTACAGAAATCATACAAATGGAATCAGCAAACATTTTGGCTGAACCAATAAAACGCAGACCGAAACCGAATCACTCGACCAAATTCAGAGAGTGATCGATCATTAACTAAGCTTCGGTGCTTCGAAGGTTTCCACAATTTCCAGACTTGATGCTAAGTAACATTTTGAATGTGTTTTAGGATGTAACCTTCTCCACAACATCAGTTTCATTGATTTTTATCTCTCAGGCTGTCTTTACATCAGTCGAAGTATCTTTACCCTTCCGGAGCCATAAGTTGACAAGAATTGAATCAATCATGATCTACACAGTCCAGAATTATATGTCAATAGTAATAAAAAGTATGCAAACGAATATTATATTATAATACAACTTCTAACCTGGTTCAGGTGTGCAGCTACACAAGGAAGAACCAAGAGCCCTGTCTCACCAAATGCACCTCCCAATTGCTCCACTACCGCCACCATTACCGGTAGTGTTTTCTATGCCACGAGAAAAGACCTCCCAAATTAAGAGATCAAATCGGCGCTAAAGGCAAACTTTGTTATTTACCTGACTTGAAACGAGCAAGACTGCAGTGCCATTTTCCTTTGAGTTCTTGCTACCACCTGAAACACCTGAGAGGATGCCGATCGAAACAGCATTGAATGCTAATAGAGAAAGATGCAGCAATCTGTGGGAAACGTAAGAATCATCTTTCAATACATGTTTCCATGTGCTTCTTCACTTGGTATACTTTCCATATGTAAAAGAAGAGAAATGCATACATTCCAATGCCAACGGCAGCAAGAAAAACCTTAGGCTTAACGGATAACAGCAGTGATCTTGACCTGCTAACTTGGATCCATGGTACCTTAAAATGTTATCATGAGATAAACATAATACTAAGTTCCCCATAAAACCAGATAAACGCATTAACAAAGTGAAGCCATTTGAGGAGCTAAATTGGTTCTACTTTAGAAGTCATAAACATGAACAAAATCCGGTTTCTGCTATTTGATTGATAAGCTTTTGAATAGTCCAAAAACTCGTGGAAAATTGTACTCTTTCAGAATAAAATCTTAACTATAGACATAAAATCTTAACTATAGACATAAAAAACAACATTAAGATTCCTGCAACAAAGTAAAACTCCAAGCCTACCCTGTACGACTTCAGAATTTTTTTTAAATAGTTTAGAAACTATGGAAGACTGACATTTCATGTCTTACCATACTGAGGCAGATTGCGTTGATCTTTGAAAATAGATTACGGTTATTGTCAACAAAGTTTGCAAACCCTGTATCAAACATTGCCACAAGAGATTCTATATAGTCAGAAAATTGGCAGCAATTAGTAGACAGAGGATAGAACTTCATGCTGCAACTATAAGGCGTCTGCTAAAACTATTTAGATGGTTTATGTTATACCATGCAGGGTATCACACTTGAAAAGATAAGAGATGATAACCATAATATTATTGTATGCAATTACTTTCACCAGAAAGAGAAAACACAATAAACGATACTTACCTTTGAATGATTCCCGAATAACCTATAACAGATAAAATCCAAATATGTCAAAGCCCGAGTCTGCAATATGTTAAGTGATAGAACTTCATGCTGCAATGACTGTTTGTGTAATGCTCTAGAACCAAAATTGAATGTAGCCATCACATCAGAGATGTTCTTAATGAAGCATTATTCATCTACTTTATCGAGAAGATTAAAACTAAGTAGAAAAGAATAAAGAGTATTAGACCTCACATAAAACAGACCTGAAAGCACATTAGAAACTATGTAAATAAACAACCAAAGATTTCTTCTTTTCCATATGAGTGACGCATTCCTGTAGGTTTTTTCTAATAAAGCATTCCTATAGGTCATTCCAACAATAGCCAGTGAACATAACGCTTTCACAATTGAACCATATAGCCAAATATTACATGGATTCATCATTGCAAGAAGTAGGTCAAGCAGAAAGATTGTCTCACCTTGCCAATGATTAAAGGAATTAACAGAGTAACTACAAGACTTCTGAACAATTGCTCAGTTGGAAAAGAAACACCTACTCCCCCAGCTATGTATCTCGATACCCAAAATGGAATCTGATAAGAGGTCAACCATGTTAACTTCAGTGACAGAAGATACAATGCTCATTCCATTTTTTACAGAAGACTTTTAATCCTAATCGTAATTCAAGATCATATGCTATTTTGAAACGATCTGATATAGACCAGGAAACAATCTGACTAGAAATATAATTGATTCTGCATGATCATCTTATAGTTTCGAATGGGGAACACTAATAATATGCAAGAGGGTGACTTACACTTAAAATTCCTAATAAGTTTGATGCCACAGTCACCGCAAGCGCAAGAGCAGCATTGCCACCAGCAAGCTAAATTGGCAATTTTGATAAGTCAGTGGAGAATGCAAGAAAAACAGTTATGCACAAAATATTGTTAAGACATATATCAAATGGAGTACGTGAGTAAGGGCAACACCACTTGATAAGGTGGTTGGCATACAGCAAAATATAGCCAGCCCTGTAGATAGCATGAGGACAAAAACTAGTCAAGTTTCGTTTGTATTATGCAATTAATATGCATTTCCTGCCCGTCACTCTTAAATCTAAATGGGATAAACGCAATGAGATTTAGCAAGAATAAAAGAAAACATGAAGGTGAAACTGTTGAATATAAGATCAAAAAGGCAATGAGATTAAGCAGTGAGCCACTTGATCACCTATGTTTGCAAACCATATTATAAATAAGTTTGTAAGTATATTAATTATTGAACCGGTGACAGTGTCACTAAAATTACAGATGCACTGTAAATTAATGGTAGTCAATAAAATATAAACTGTAACAAGGTAAGAAAAGAACATGATCTATTCAAGAAAGAGACAGAGTAACCTGTAACAAGTTCCGGGGGTTGAAGTTGGAACAGCATAATTAGCCGTGAGAAGGATGGAGTGAGCAACAAAATAGAGATCTGAAAAAGAAAAAAAAAAAGAAAAAAAGAGAATAGTTTGGGATTAAGTATGCAGTATAACTAACAGGAGTTATAAAGGAAAGGCATTACCCAACAGGTTGTTATCAAACATGACTGACACTGAATGGAAAGTACATTGGGGCAAAAGGGTTTCTTTTCATTTCACTGTCTTAGTAGTTTTGTAAATGCAGAAATTAATCTTTCATGAACTTAAAGAATATAGAGATCGAAACTAAAGAGAAGGGGAACCGTTCAGAGTACGTAAAAACCAGTGAAGAACATACTAGCCCGAAGACTCCAAGAGGCCATCCTTTAACAGCAGCACCAATCGCTTCAGTACGTAAAGTCAATCCTGTACCACATTACATAGAAAGAGTACACAATGGATAAGCTATTCGACGGAAACAAAGTGATTACTTCCATCACCCTTTATCATATAAAGAACAACAACAAAGCAATTGTACACTTATGCTATTAGCATGACAGAATCACCTGATATAATAAATATTCCGCATGTGCTGATCTTAGTGAAAGAGTATTTGTCTGCAAGACAGCCTAGAGTTGGATTTGCAAAGCCCAGCCCCACTCCACTAACAAGAGCTGCAAACAAATAAACCAACAAAGCACAAACATCCAACTGAAGTGTCAAAAGTAACAAAGTGAGGCATAAGAGTACATAGATGAATTCGAAATGACGTATCTATGCTTCAATTCTATTTATCATTACGGCTATGGCTACGTCCACAGAGGTCACTTGAACTAATCTTCGTTGAAAATTAAAGTGATAAGTAATCTTCATTGAAAATTGAATTTTGATGCAGTCAATCTGCATATCAGACTTTGAAAGATCTAACCATTGATTTTACAAATTGAGAAAAATGGCAAGAGCAATGTGTAATATTACCTAGAGGCAAGAAATTATCTGAAGCAAAAGTCAGCAGTTCCTTCCCAAAATGTAATCTTTTAGCTGAAGGTGAAATGCCTCCATCACCACCAAGCTGTGAACAAAAACAAACATCTCCAACGAGTCAAACAAAGTTCGATCATTTACATCACTTCGATTCATTCTCTAAATAAACTTGGAATCGCAACAAGGACACTAAAACCATAGCGCACATAAAATCGAAGGGACAGCGACAGAGACCTTGTCGGACGGTTGGCAAGCTCTAATGGATCTGGGAATCCATCGTCTGCCACAGGGCTCTCGATAGCGGCGGAAGACGACGGAGCGGGTCCCAAGAGGCGTTGGTTCCCGGAGACATAAAAAGGGGTTTTGGGTTGAAGTCAGGATACTAGCTATCGCCATGAGAGTAGTCTTCAGAATTAGAATCAAAGGTGAACAGAAGAATGAATAATTAAAAAAAAAAAATCCAATGCATTACTCAGCTCTCAATAATCTCTCAGATCAACACTGTAAACAACTCCGGCTTATAGGAACCACTTTCCACTACCACTAGCTAGTGGCTACTCTTATTTGTTTATTTATTTATTCATAATTCAAATTGTATAATTTATTTTCAATTTCAACCAATCATGAGTTTCAGAGTTTGTCTTTCATATCAAATAATGATTAAAAACAATATTCCCAATTCTTGGCTCTATTGAGTCTAATAAGATTGCTATTGACAAAAAAAAAACAAAACAAAAAAAAACTCTAGTCGTCTGAGTAATTGAGAGCGAGACTCCAGTAGTGTGGAACACCAGCATCCGTGAAAACTTTCTTTGCAGCAGATTCAAATGAGCACTCTTGTACATTAAACTTATGAAAACTCGGTTTCTCAACACTTCCTTGCCAAATCAACCGACACTTGTTTCCACCATTCTCCTCTTCTTCTTCTTCTTCCTTCTTCTCTGTCTTTTCCCAGTTTATTCGCTTCAGCATCAGCTTCTTATATGTCTTTATTGATTTGCTATTACCTTCAACCACAACAACACTAAATCCATCCGTCATCACACTGCACCCTGTTAATATGTTCTGTCTTGCATTCATCTCCACTTTGAATCTTGTTTCGGGATGCGACAACTTCTTGTTGATCTTGTACACTGACACAATCGTCTCAACTGTTGTTGGATCACCATAAAGCTTCCTTTTTTTCTTCTCACGTTTCTCTGCAGGAGTTAGCTTCCTCGCAGTGTTCCTATCCCTGTGCGCCTGTTCACGCTCGGCAGCTGCTGTGCGGATCTCTTTCTCAAGCTTGGTTGGGTCTTGGGTTGCTTCAGACGCAAGAACCTTCATTAGGTTGCTCAATTTCACCTTTGGTTTTGGTGGTTCAAGCAAACCTAGTCTAATCATCTTTTGTTTCTCCTTTTCTTTTGCCACACGCCTCAAGCGTCTCAGTTTCTTCTGTTCCTTCTTTGTCAGTTTAAGCAGCTGGGGTGGTGGAGACGCTGATTCTGCAAGTGGCTCTAGGGGGAATTGATGCTCTACGTTACCAATAATTTTTTTTATCTTGAGATGGCTTTCATTAATGGTGTCATTGATGAGGATATTTGGATCCGACAATAAGTCAGTAATGGTGTCATTGGTGAGGATTTCTGCATCCCACCACTCAACATCTGGGATTTGCTCCTTGAGCTTCTCTTTTCTTGCGACACTTTCAGATGATTCTGTCAAATCGGGATTCATATCATCATCCTTTGCCTTTTTCGGATGCCCTTGCTTCACCTTGAAACTCATACGTTTAGGTCTCAAAATCTTGTTTTTCTCAATACCAATCCTTTGATCATAATGGTGCAAGTTCTCTTGTGGATCTACTTCCAGTTGAGGTTTAAGAATCCGAAAAGCATCTTTCTTTTGTTTGTTGATGTTAACTTTCAATGTAATAATACTGCTTGGTTTAGTCACACTAACCACGTGTCCGTGTTCATCTATCTCTCTTCCAAGAGCATCCAAACGTAGAACATGAACATGGGCCTTGGTCGGTTTATGTGCAACAGCTGTCTCTGTGGGAGCAAATCCCATAGGAGCTGCCTGCTCCTGAGCTCGCTTAACAGCTTCGGAGGTTATACTACTACAAGTTTCCACCGCGATAGAAACAGAACTCTCAGTGACTTGTGCGGCCACATCTTCAAACCTGGTCATCCTCCTCCTCTCAGTACCACAAACACTTGATATCCTGTGCGAGACGGTTTAGGGGAATCAGGAAACGAACGGGAACAACACACAAAGTTATTAATTATTATAATATAGGTTTTAGGACTCTAGCTTAAGAAAATAACGCTTTGAACTTCTCAAAACCTTATTGGATATCTCTATTTATATGAAAACATCATTCACAATTCTGTTAAAAAACACTTATGTTTAGATAACGCATAAATATATTCAATCTTTTATCTCTTTGATAATTATGATTCGGTTAGGATTAGCATAGTTTCCAACTCAAGCTATCTTCGAGCTTTATGTCCATATTCTTTATATACCACATCAATAGTTTATCCTAGGTCAACCAGGAATTGGAGTTTTTTACGCAGGAGAATATATCAAAATCTCATAAACATTTTATTTAAGGGAGATTTGCACAACAAACCTTTTTATGATACCATTTTCTACAAGTACCCTCTCTATGTGTCCATTTTCAAAAATACCCTCTTCAATATACAAAATGACTAAATTACCCTCCTTTATTATTACCCATGATGAAGAAAAGAATATTCTTTCCAACAAAAAGAATATTCCTTCCGAAAAATTTCCCGCCAAATTTTCCCGCCAAAAATTTTCGGCAAAAATTTTCCCGCCAAAAAATTCCGACAAAAAAATTTTCCCGCCAAAAAAATTTTCCGACAAAAATTTTTCCGCAATTCCTTAAAAAAACCTTGTAAATATTTATAAATCCTTAAAAAAATCCTTTAAAAACCCTTGTAAATCTTTTAAAAGTCATCCAAAACCTTTCAAAATTTGAGTAAATCTTTTAAAACCATTGTAAATCATTTTATAACATTTATAAACACTTGTAAATCCCTTTAACCCCCTTATAACCGTGATAAATCAGTTAATAAAAACTTTTGTAAACTTCTAAAACCCTTTAAAAACCCTTGTAAATCCTTAAAAACCATTTTAAAGAACTTGTAATACCTTTAAAAACTTTTGTAAACCCTTCAAAAACTTTTGTAAACTTCTAAAACCCTTTAAAACTTCTTATAAATCCTTTAAAACTATTTTTAAATCTTTGTGTGCCTTTAAATACACTTTTAAATCTTTTTAAAAACACTTGTAAATCCTTTTAAAAAACTTTTAAAAATCCTTGTAAATTTTTAAAATCCTTGTAAATCCTTTTAAAACTGTTATAAACTTATAAAAACTTTTAAAAACCATTGTAAATCATTTAAAAACCATTTAAAAACCTTTGTAGGCTTCTAAAACCCTTTAAAAACCATTTCAAATCTTTTAAAAACCATTTAAAAGCTCTTGTAAATCCCTTTAAAAACCCTTGTAAACCCTTTAAAAGACCCTTTAAAAAATCTTGTAAACCCTTTAAAACAATTTGGCGGGAAAATTTGAAAAAATATTTTTTTTTGCGGGAAATTTTTTGCGGAATTTTTTATGGCGGGAAAATTTTCTCGGGAAATTTTTTTGGCGGGAAAATTTTATCGGAAATTTTTTTGGCGGGAAATTTTTTCTCGGAAAATTTTTTGGCGGGAAAATTTTGGCGGGAAATTTTTGGGGGGAAAATTTTTGGATGGAATATTCCTTCCTTTGGGAAAGAATATTCTTTCAAATATGGGTAAAATGACAATTAAAATATAAGAGAGGTCAAAAATGAAAATGTTAAAAAAGAGGGTATTTTTAAAAGAGGGTATCATAAAAAGGTTATTGGTATCAATTTCTCTTTATTTAATTATACGAGAATCAATAATTATTGACCCCTTAAAATCAAGACACTTTTCGAGAATCACTCCGACAAAGGTCTATGAGTTATGATTACCTGATCTCCTCTTTAGGTTCCTATTCCTAATAAGGCAAGTGTTTCATAACAAACGGTTTATCAAATATACATGCTAAATAAACGTTTTGATATATTACATAAATAAAAATTTGGTAATTATCTAAAAATTGATATATATATATATATATATATATGGTTATATTAATAATAATTTAATTATATTTATGCTTCTTCTGTTTATTTCGCTTATGCTTTCTTTTTTAAAAATTTTTACTTAATTATAATTTAAAAGCTTTTCTAAACAGTACAAAAGTCATATGTCTGAAGTGAAATATTTTTATTTGATATTTTTGTAAAATTTAACTTGATTTTTAATTCAAATTACTTTTACCTAATGATAAAAAGTAGTTTGAGTTACCAATATTCATAATTAAGGTGAGTTTTATTTATTTTTAATGTTTACAATATACAAAAAAAAATTTGCATTAATTTTACAATTGCTTACTATATTGTGTATGTGCTAATTTTGTATTTTTATTTGATCATATTCAGTTCCATATTTTTCAAATACATTTTTTATTTACTTTTAATGTTTATAATGTACACAAGATTTGTTTCGAAATAATTTTGCCATTGCATATGATTTTTGTGCACTAATTTTGTATTATTTTGTTATAAAAACAAATATCATACATTATTTTTAAATGATTTGTTTGTGCGCTAAATTTTAAATTGTTTTCAAAACATACATTAACAAAAAAATAAAACTAGATATAAATTAATGTAATTTTTAATCTATATATGAAATTACTACTTCATACATAACTCTTGCATTGCGTAAACAACTTTCTAGTTTTCTATATATATATATTCCACATCTAACTGTGTATCTTAAGTGAATTTAATTAGATTGTTTAAGCAATAATTATTTTTAAATAATGTGTTCATCCCACAAAGGCACAAATTATGTATCCAAAAATAACAAATAGCTTCTATAAAAATGTGTTCAAGTAATCATGTGCATTATTTTCCTCTTTATCTTTCCTCTTACTCATCGGTTCCTTGTCCTTACCTCCTTGGTGAGACCTCTCATGATGCTTATTAGTCCTATCTCTCTCATGTCGTCGAGGTTCACGATCGTCCTAGATGCTCATGCTCTCCTTAATCTTATTCATGACGAGACGGTTTAGGGAAATTGTGAAACGCACATGAAAGTAACTATATTATTATTTATATCATCTGTATATCCTAACTCCACCAGGAGTTGGAAATCGTAAGTTATTCTAATTTTTCTTTTATGTTTGTAAGACTTAGGCCGTGGAATGAGATTTTAAACTCGATTTTAGCTTTTATTTTTTGGATTTTAGTTTTTTCGTTTTTGTTATAAAAAAAAGTAAAAAATGAATAAAATATAAAAATTGAAAATGAAAGAAAATACACTCATGTTGAAAGAAACCATCAAAAGGGGTTTTTGATTTTTATTTGAAAATGAGTAAAATCTCATAAAAAGTAAATTTTCTATTATTTTTTTATAGGAAAACCAATTTTATAGAATCTTGAATGACAACAAATTAGATTTTTAGAAAAGCTAAAACCAAAATCTACCTAAAAACTAGTAACCATTCAAGGCCACATCACATATTATACGGTGCAGATGAACTATTCACCGATTCAATATTGCAGCCCATGTCCGGTATATAGACACTATATAGTGGACTTATAATTAGATTCGTTTAAGCAAAAAATAGTTTTCAAAATCTGTTCATCCCACATTTTATGGATCCAAAAATAACAAATTGAATTTGAAGGCTTTTGATAGTGGAAACTTTCTAGTGTTTGTAGGCTCGCAAGTCTATGAACTTGTGGGTTACTTGCTTCTTACTTACATAGCTTATGGTAAATGATGCTTTGCTTCGATGGAACTTTTTGCAGATTTCAGGGCCAGTAGAGGTTCTAAACAGTCACCCAAAACGGGATGAAGAAACTTCAATTACAGATACTAGCGTATTAGTCGCAAAAAGTCGAAAGTTGAACATATCATATGTAGTAATCTTAGGTACACGCAAAAAGTTTGTCTAAATCAATGCTTACCAAACCAAAACCAAAATAACCGAGGAAAAGCCAAGAACACAAAGCTAATCTTGAATATACTCCAGCTTTTGATTGCTCGAATTAGTAAACTATTTTTCTGGTCGTCTGCGATATTATTAGGCTACACGGCCTGTTTAGATTCTAACCCTTTTAACATAATTTTTATACCCGTTTGGGCCTGAAGCCCGTTTAGGCCTCAACAAGCACAGTGTGATAATCAAACACAAGTCATGTAAATAGTTGATACTAAAATAATTTTAACAGAAGAAAAGAGGATATGGTTCAATAATTAGCCAGAAAGTTAGAAACAAGAAGCACAAAACACATCAGCAAAACAAGACTAGTTGAATCTCTTTCTTCTCCAACGAATCCGCTTTGTGTCTTGCTTCAGAAACCCAGGAAGCCTGACAAAACTCGGAACGAAGCTGCATTGAAAAGAAAAAGCAGTTCCCGCGATATGTTCTTCTTCAATTTTCTCAAACTTGTTCTCGCCGATGACTCTGTAAATGTTAACAGCATCAACGAATCCATTGAATTCAACAGAAGTTGCGACGAGCCTACAGTTTTTGTCAACAAAAAAAGATGTTGAAATACGACTTGAAGGTGGATGTAATAGAGGAGAATGCGGTATAGCCACGACCATCAATCTGCTCCAAGGACGTAAGAGCCAATACTTAACCCATATGCAAATGGTCCTTGTTTCATGACATTGCTCTAACACGGAAAGCCGGTCTCCTTTATAAGTCGCGAGTGCAATAGGATTCCGTTCATCGTACCTGAAGGGTAGCTGATCTATCGGTTGGAATATTTCTTTGGAAAAATCAAAGCTTTGCAGGAAAGCTGTGTGATCTTCACGAAGAGCAATACAATAAGGAGTTCCTCTCAAAGAGAGTATCGCCAGTGGTATTCTAAGGAACCAATCAAAAGGACTGATCATATCTACACACTTCCATGTCTTAGATGAGAGTTGGCAGACCTCAACTCTTGGAGGTCTGTTTCTTGAATTACTAGCACATCGAAACCGTAAGATCCTGTAATCACAAGGGCTGAGGTATCCAAGGCTGTACGCATCATCATATGCGTGAAAGTCGCTGCCGCATTTGACCCAACACATTTCTTTCAGTAACGGGTTCCAAACCAAAAGCTTGTTGTCCATGACACACAACAACAGACCGTTGCAGTGCACAACCTTGTACACCTTAATGATTCGCGTTGGATGAACTCTTCCAAGGCTAAGGTTTTCGGAAGGAGTAAGTACCTGCTCCTCAGTGCTCACGGAAGAAAGACATCCATCGTGGGAGATGATAAACCGATGATCACGGCTATCGCCGATGTGCGTACGGGACAAGTTCTTCAGAATGAGACTCTGGTCCAAGATCATACTATTCCAAAGCTTGCATACAGATCTCCACTTCGCAAGAATTCTAAATGTAACTCTGGAGATGATTTCCTCTTCCAACTCAGATGGAAGCCTCAAAGTCATCGTCGTGCGTGACCTAGTTGTCGAGAGAGAGAGAGATAATTTATATATAAATAAATAGAAATTGGAGCACCATGGTAAAATTGAAACTTTTAGATATGGTAAAATCATTAATGGAATCTTGACTAAAAAAAATTAATAATACTAGTGATAGTTTCCTCTTCTATATAGTTTCCAAAAAAGTAATAACAGACTGATTTTGAGTGGTTCAACCGTTCAAGTTAGATTTCGGATATAAAATAAAATAAAAAGATTTCCGAAGTTTTTATGAAAAGTCTAGAACCCTTAAATTACTTCTCTTACGTAAATTAAAAGAGAAAATATAGTTATAGATAGCTTTTCTTTCACAATCTATAAATATATTAAGACCTTTAATCTATAGGAAATAATTATTTCAAAAGAAGAATGGTATACTAAGCTCCAAAAAAAAAAATCTGAAAGCTAAAATACGATTTTAAATTTTAGCCAAAACCAAAAACCCAGAAACGAAAGTTCAAAGACTTAAAAATAATAAACTAGAAGCTACAAAAGTTATAATAAAAAACTAAAAGAAACGAAAAAGTAAAAAAAAAAACACAATAAACCAAAAGTGCTACAAAATCATAAGAAAACTGTAACAATTAGAAAAGACATAATGAAAAAGCAAAATAAAAGTTTAGGAACAACCTCGTCGAAATAGGATGCACACAAGTCACAACTGATCTCTCCTTCCCCACTGGCTTCAATCGATCTTTTTAGTTTTTAATTTAAGATAAATAGGGTTTTCAGAGAGATTTTATACGAAACAAATACCCATTGGGCCCGTAACACCCAGCCCATCTAAAACTTTGCTTATTTCCGTTATCTACGAGAAAGAGAAGAGAACTACTAATAAATAAATAAAAAACACACAAACAAATGTAGATGTGTTAAACGGGCCGCTCTGCGTCTATATACTGTAGACTGTCTGCAACGGGTGCAAAAAAACGATGTCTTCTGTCTCACTAAACCCGCCTTTAGCAAGCTGAATAGCTGATTCGTAAACCTAAATAACATTATATATTCTAAAATAAATTAATAATTGATAATTTTATAAATTAATATTAGTGTTTAATTTGAACCAATTCACCGACTCAATAATGCAGCCCATGTCCGGTGACCGGTATACATACACTATATAGTGGACTTATAATTAGATTCTTTTAAGCAAAAATTATTTTTTTAAAATCTGTTCATCCACACATTTCATGGATCCAAAAAATACATGTAGAATTTGAATCTTCTATAAGAGGGATATATTCAAAATTTAATTCTAAGAGATATGAGTTTTATTAAGTTTTTAAATGATTTTGATGATTTTAGGGAAGTTCATATGACTTTTGTAAAATCCTTTCAAATCTCACTACAAACCATGAGATTTGGATTTATGTATTTTTAACTAAAGGAAATTCTCTAAAATACTATGAAATCCTTCAAAATCATTAAAAATCAAATCCACAAATTTTTTTTTGTGTAACAGTGGATTTTAAGGTGGATTTTGAAATCATTAGTTCAATAACAGTGAATTTAATGAAACTTTTTAAAATCTATGTTTGAATAATACTAGATTTATAAGTTTTACACAAATCTATAAAAATTCTACTTTGAATACACTCCCTAAACGTGTTCAATGAATCATGTGCACAATTAAGGGTCGGTTATCTTGAGTAATCCTCTTACCTTGTTAACTGGCATAAGCTTTTTCTTAAGAAATATAATAATTTGTGCTAAATATCACCCATTTATAGTTGGAGATATTTTGAGAAGTAGGTCAACTGAATGCGTCAATAAGATTGCTTACTTACACCTCAAGCTTGTGAATTTACAAAAAGAAAGTCGTAAAATCGAATGGAATCTGATTACGACAAGGCACCTACATACTTTTTACATAAACAAAACACATCTATTATATAAAATTAGCTTTCTAACCAATAACAAACAGCCACGTATGATTCCCCTTGTTCGATCTGCTCCATATAACTGAATGAAAGACTTTTCATACGAGAAAGCAAGCAACATCAAAATTCCTTCTTTTTTTTTTCTTTTTTTTTCCTGAAGATCAAATCTAGGAAATGGGTAACGCGATTAGGTTACTCCGGAAATGCTTAAATCACACGACGGACGATAAGCCTCACGGCGGCGCCGCCTCTTCCCCCGGCGTATCAGCTCTTTCCCGTGATCTCTTCAACTTCGAAACCACTTCTCAGGTCTCTCTCTCTCTCTCTCTCTCTTCATTGCTATTCTCCTAAATTTTCCTTCTTCTTTTTTTTCTCCAGCTTAATTACTAGTCTTTGATCTCTGGTCTTTAGCTCTGTTTTGAAACTCACGTCATCCACAAATTTTGCTTAAGAGATTGATCAGAATCTAAAAAACTCATTTCATTCTAGGTTCCTGAAAAGCTTGGGAGTTACGTTGTATCTTCTACAAAGGCTCAAGCAAACTGGTAAAGAAACAATACACATCTCATCCTTAAAATCTCTCTCTCTCTCTTGTTGTCTGAAGAGTTGAAGTTTTCATGTATTAATTTTCTTCCAAAACATGTTTTAAAGGTATAGAAAAATACTTGAGGCATGGAAGCAATCTAAGCCTCCGCCTAAAACTCCTGAGGAAGCCTCTAGGCTTGTTATCGCGTCTTTAAAGAACCATCAAAAAGCAGATGTTGAGGTATTATTAACAATGTTTCAAGTTGCAGAATCGGAAAATTCATTGATATGGTTTATTTGACGTATGACATTGACACAGGGACTTTTGACTTTCTATGGACTGCCTTCGCCTCACAATCTTGTTGAGGTCCCTACAGAATCTCCTGTGTCTTTACCTCAAGGAGTTCGGTTTGAGCTCAAAACGCTTCCGGTTAGAAAACTTTCAAAAAAATAATTGCAATATGATGAATCGATGGTAATGTTGTTGTTTCTGATCAAGAAATATGTCTCATTGAAATAAGGTGGATACAAAATCTGTGGCAGATGGAGATACCGTTACTGTATATGTTAGTAGCAAAGACCCGCTTGTGTCATCTTCTGTTCCTAAGGAAGTGAGTATTGCAGCGGTTAAAAGAGCCAAAGCTCGTGAGAAGAGGAATTATACTGAAGCAGATGCACTTCACAAGAAGATCATATCTTCTGGTTACAGGTTTTTGTTTTTGATATTCTTACTTACACAAGAATATCATAAAGTCAAATCAAAACTGAGCTATGGAATTCATAATCCTTCTGATACTTTTTTTTATCTTGTGCTTAGGATGATAAGTTTTCAAAATGAGGAAGTGCTTGCTAAAAAGTTCAGAATTAGACTAAGGTAAAAACACTCTTCCACTCAAGAGAGAAACTCATCTTTAAGCTCTTTTAATTCAAAAATATATGTATGGAGTTTTAAGAACAAACTGGGAATGAAAACGAAACAGCGGAATAGATTCACCGGAGAGCAAAATGCCGTATGGAAAAGAGGCGCATGATGAGCTACTCAAGATGGTAGAAGGGAAATGCTTGAAGGTGTTAGTTTATACAGAGGATCGTTATGGAAGATGTGTAGGAGATATATACTGCAATGGAAAATTTGTACAGGAAGTAATGCTAAAGAAAGGTCTTGCTTGGCATTATGTAGCCTACGACAAGCGTGCAGAGCTTGCCAAGGTAAGACATTGTAAACCTATGTGCATCTCTCATTTACAAGTTTCTTGGATCAGTCTTTCTAATGTTTAAAGTTTTTTTTTTGGTGTTTGGGTACAGTGGGAAAATGAGGCTAGGCAAAAGCGTATCGGCTTGTGGGCATCTTCTAATCCAGAGAAGCCATGGGAGTGGAGAAAGAACAAACGTGGAGGCAATTAATGCTATGCACCTTCTATGTTTAGTTCAATATACAAAACAGAACAAAGAAAAACAATTAATATTATTCGAATTATGATTGTTGTGAATTAAAGAACATGTGATCTGTTGTTGTAATTGTAAGAGAAGTACTCTGTAAATGTATTATGTATTAATAAGGTTTTTTTTTTTGGCAATACAGATTCTTTCTTTGAAGTTTGAACCTTGAAACAGAAGTTACGTACGCTTAGTTGTTTGTTTCTAAATATAAGGGGACATAGTTTATTTTTGGGGTTTAACAATCTTTGGTTGACAATGAAAGTTTGATTCATAACCAGAGAAAGTAAAAAAAAAAAAAACCAATCTTGCAATTTCAAAAATTGTTTTTAGTTGATATATGTTTTCAAGAAAATGTGAAAAGGTGTTTTTGATAATTCTTCACCATCAGGAGGATTATCAAGGGCTCTAAAGCAAGAGCCTTTCATAATCTTTTGAAATTTTCTTCTTCTTATTTTTCTTGATATTATTTCGAAAATGCCGAAGAATAAGAAAACAGAATGGCAAGTAGGAGATCCCACGATAAGCGTAGTGAGCGATCAATTCTGTAATCCATACCCTATGGATCTATTGGTGAAGAGGAAAGTTCAGAATTTCTCCAAAGATCATTATGAAGTGTTTGATCCAAGCGGTAATCTGCTCCTACAAGTTGATGGACAAGCTTGGGGGTTTAACCGTAAAAGAACTATGCGTGATCCAGCCGGTTTCACAATCCTCACAATGCGCCAAAAGGTTACAAAACATTTTCAATCTTTCAAAAACAACAAAACAAAAAGAGCTCTTTCTTGAAACCGTGTATGTGTCTTTAGGGTCTTGCGTTGAAGACTAAGTGGGAAGTGCATGGAGGAGAGAGCAAAGAGAGAGAAGACTTGCTCTTCACGGTACAACAATCTCAAGCGGTCTCATTGAAAACGTCTGTGGATGTTTTCTTGCCCGAGAACAACAATGTCAAGAAGACCAACACTTGTGATTTTCATGCTTCAGGAGGATACTCTAATATCTCATTCAAAGTTTTCAAATCGGATGCTCTCATCGCGGGGGTAGGGGTAAAAGTTATAAACCCCATAATTATCAATAATCTTGGCAATTTTTTTACACATAGGTGAAGAATTGAAAATCCTTATATTGCAGGTGACACATAAGTTTACATGGGGAAGTTTCTGCAAAGGGAAATATAATTTCAAGGTGAGAGTACATCCAGAGGTTGACTATGCTTTTATCATTGCTTTGCTTGTTATGGTCGATGACAACGAGAATTGGTGTTAGTATATATATTCCCTGTCCTCAAATTCTTTGCTTAGTGGTTCCTTTCACAATTTATGTGTTCATTTCTCAAGATATATGTATGTGTGTAAGAATATATTTTTTTCATGTTATGTGCAATCTTGCTAGTCCAAATGTTTATTCTTCTTTTAAAAACGTGCAGTCAGAGATATAACATCAGTGTACATATATATAAGTGTGTGCCCATATGAATTGAATATCAATGAGCTCTGTAATAAGCAAATGGATTTCAAAAGAAATTATCCTAATATCATTCGCCCAAACCAAAAAAGACAACAACTCCCAAAAAAGAGACAAAGCAATATCCACGAGAGGATAAAACATTGCGTTTCCAATTTCTGGCAATGTCATGATGATGATTGATGACTACTAGCTAGTCCTCAGGATCAGGATTTGCTCTCCTCTTCCGTTTTTTTATGAGAAGAGGTTTGGTCTTCCGCTTCTTGGTGGTCCGACTTAATTTCTTCTTATGCTTATTGGCAAGCCTTCTCGCACATTCAGGACTTTGGTTGTTGTGGATGATAGGGCTCCCTCCAGTTGAAAGGCTGGTCCAAAGCCAAACCGAACTTGCAGTTTGAACTAGTTGTCCGGAAATGTTTTGAGGGTGCGCCAAGAGAATATTATTCTCCTTCTCGCTCAAATGTACCAGAGCTGAGACGAAATCAACGTCTTGTGAGATGTCTTTGAAGATTACCATCAAATTTGTTGGTTCATGTAGACATCTTTAAACATCAAATCAACTTTAAACTGACTTGAATCTGGAATTAATTGAAAAAGGGAAAGAATATTTAATTGAATGGTAAAATATCAAAAGGATTTTTATTTTTAATTTTTTCAAAAGAATTAATGAATGAACCTGGCTGGATAAGTTTGATGTTGGCAGATTCAAACTCTTCTTCATTGATCTGCTCCCGGCCACTAGAATAAGCAACAATCGAAACCCTACCAGTGTAATCTCTATTCTTGAGAGCTAATTTGATATTATCATAGATGGAAGCAAGACTGAGATCGTTAGGGATTGGGCAATCATCCAGGTCCCAGAAGACGCCTGTCTCAGCATCTGCAAATGTTAAAGAAAAATTGAATATGACAGACTTAAAAAGAACAAGAATTGAAGCTTCAGTACCATTATAAAAGAACGACCAAATCTGCAAATAACTTTTTAAGGAAGAGATAGAGACGCAAGCAAGCAAGCAACTTACCAGAGAACTTGCTGGTCAAGGAAGACATAGTAAACTAAACACAACAGTAAATCAGGTTAGGTTGTGGCTGCTGAATGCTGATCATAAGAGAGAGAGATTTATAACGACTTATAGAAGTCGGTTTGATTGCTGAACGTATATGGTAATATACTTTGTATGAGAGTTGGGTCATTGATAAAAGTTCTTGCATACTGCTGTAAATAAGGTTTTCTTTTAAATATGTAATATTTCCATTTTCTTACAATTTTGTCATTTTTAAAGCTAAAGTTAACTTTTTTTTTTTTGGACAAAAAACTAAAGTTAACTAATTGATGACTTTCACTCATTAGTCTTTATCAAAAATTTGGTTTACTCTGCAGCATAATATGAAAGATTAGTTTTCTCTAAACTTGATTTAATTTGTCTAAATATTATACGATAAAATAAAAACGTCATAAACAAATAAATAAATAAACCGGCCATACGTTTTCAACTTCTGGTAATGGCGCCATGAGTCTTATGACTAGTCCTCAGGATCGAGACGACCCGTGATGTAGTTAACTAACACCTTCTGAGATGTCTTTCTAGATTACCATCAAATAAATTTGTTGGTTCACAAAGACGTAATTATCTAAATTATTGTCTTAAAAATATTAAATTCTTACTGAATCTCATTTTTACAAGCAACGATAATTCAGGAAAAGAAAAAATAGCGTAATAAGATAGGAAAAAGAGACAAAGAAGTATCCACGAGAGGAATAAGTAACTAACTATAATGTCATGATACTATTACTATAGTCCTCAGAATGAGTACTAGCTCTGCTCTTCCGCTTCATCTGCTTAGCTTCAACAAATCGGCACGGGGTAAATGATCATGTGTTCGTAAATCTCAATATTCTGTATATACTTGTAATGTTCGTTCTTGCTAGGCCAATTGTGTTTTTTTTTTCCTTCAATAAAACGTGCAGTGGAGCAAGTAATGATAAGAGCAATAAGAAGAAACCCCTCACTTTTATTAGATGTAACCAAATATCGAGACCTAAACCTCTCTCGACTTATCAAATCTTTGAAAGAAGAAGAATCTCCAAAGATCTTTAAGCAAAATAAAAACTCCAAAAGACTTGACAAGTTCCCATAAATGAAGTGATGAGACACAGAGAACAAATTGTAGACGTTGATACTAAACAAGCCCAATTTGACCAAACCTCTTAAGAAACCTTAAAACTCAAAACCAGACACAATCAAATCAAACAAGGGTCGGATATGAAGTAACGAACATAGTGATAATACAATCCGGTAATAAAACGCAACGCTCTGGATAAAGATGTTTAGGTAAGGTCATCCTCCTCCAGCTCCTTGGCCTTGAGCTTCTCCTTCACCCTCAACAACATGGTTGTCTTCCATGAATCCTGCATTGATACCAATACCATGATCAAGAACCAGACATAGTTAAAAAGAGATTACATTCATTTGTATCTGGTTTATTGCCAGTACCAGTGGAGTCATGCTATCATATTCCTTGACAACGTCTGTGAACTTTGCTATGTCTTCTTCATCGATGGCAGAAGCAAGGTCCTGTTCATGTGAATAAATGTACAAAACTTAACATACTTTATGTAAGCTACTCCGCAATTTCTTAAGAAAAAAAGCAAAGTTTAAACTTTACCGCTAAGAACTTGCATTCCCGTGTTCCTGAAAATGTCGGATCCAGATCCTGCAGGAAAGCAGATGTCAGAAAACATGTTATAGTCACTCAAAGGACCACACCAGAATGCTAATGTTACGGGTGTTTGCTGTGGAAGAAGAAAAACCTGATATTTCTCCAGCGCATTAGTGATGGAAACAACATCGGCTTTGCATAAGTGGCACATGCCAGCAGTGAGAAGATGGCCCTTAACTCCATACTTAAGCAAGTTGTTGTTGAGTGAATGGCGTGCTATTTCTTCATAAATCTTGATTGCCTTCTCATATCTATCAAAGATACAAAAGCCCAGTATCAATCAATCCATCCCAAAGTAAAGAAAACACTATAATTGCTGTTCATGCGTAGAAAACACCACAATTCCAAACAATGTCGAGTTTGTAGATTGACAATTCGATTTTAACAAGTTTCCATCTGAGTACTGTAAGCACTTCAAAACCAAAGGATGAGAAAGCAAAAATGAAAAGAAAAAGCTAAGGTGCCAAAAATCTTACTGCTCCAGCTGGGCAGCATATTGTGCAACCTTTAGATTGCACTGGTTTGCAGAAGTGGTCACTTCTTCATTTTGAAAGAATTCAGCTGCCTTTTCAAAGTAAGCAATAGCCTGCTCGAACTTCTGATCAGATTCATAATACTCAGCAATTTCCTGTCAAAAGTAAAAAACCAATAATGCCTATTAGTACAAATACAGAAAGTCAGTACCAAGCTTACTATAGTGTAGAAAAAAGAAACAGATCCGACTGAATCCAACAGGCATGATGAAACAGGAACCATGGATGAAATACTGAAGAAGTGACCCAATAAAACTATATCTTCTCAGAATCCTTCCTTACTAAAAGTGTAATATCAATTTTATGCTCAAAAGAGACACGTGGTACCTTGTAATATCTTGCAGCCATGTTGAGCCTTCCTATCTCACAAAATATATTCACTGCTCGTTCTAGGCAAGATGCAGCCTCTGCATATCAGGTCATATGGATATTAGGACGCATGAAAACACACAAGAATTGATAATCACTCTTGTATTACTGAGATGTCAAAATTCAAAAAGTGGCTTACACATACCATTTGTGTCAACTTTCTTGTAGCATTTAGCAGCCTCAGCATAGGCATTAGCAGCATCATGTTTGCTGTCTGACTGCAGATGCAAATAAATGTTATCAAATAAAATCCACCCATTCTGCCAGTATTTGCCAAAGAATTTACCTTTAAGTGACAGTCAGCAAGTTTTAGATAAGCTTTTCCAGCTTGATCCCCTGAATTGAATGAACAATCACATATCGAACACATAAGCAAGGAGAATTGAACAATCATCAGAAAAGCAAAACATGAAAACTATTAACCAAATAGAACAATTTCGCAACTTATCAATGACTTGCTACAAGGCCAAAAAGCCATTATCAAGCAATCTGAATGTTGAATCTCCAAATTACAATTCTCGTATGCAATCATCAAAACCAAAAATTTATGACAGATCAAAATAGACCTGATATAAACCCAAATAATACAAACTCAAATGTACATATATAGACGAATCAACGCAACTGATAAACCTAAGATCAAACGTGTAAATTTTCACCTTTTCATCCTCATCGTCACAAACAAGTAAAACCCACGACATCAATCAGATGAAACAATAATCAAACACGACGAAATGGAGTAATTTGTTTTTTTTGGAAATTACATGATTTGGCGAGCTTATAGGAATTAGCAGCTTTTTCGAGCAGATCGGCAGCATCCTCGTACTTAGATCCAAATATTCCCCATCCGTTGAGCTTCTTCTCAGCTTTTTTCTCGAATTCCTCCGCTCTCAGCAAATGATCCCCCATTTCTTTTTTTTTTGTTTCCTCCTGGAAACTCTGACTCGAAATTTCACTCCGTTTCACCTCCGATCGTATACTTCTTTACCTCTCCAGACTCCGATTGTTTCTTCGAACGTTTCACTTTTTTCGTCGAGAGAGAGAGATTGCTCCGATGAGATTTATGAGAAGACGAGAATCAATCGAGAGCGAAAAATCAGACACGCTTCGGTAGGGGAAAAGATTTTTCAACCGATTTAAATGGGCTGGATTTGGATATTTGATATTTGGGCTTATTTTGTAAAGCCCATTCGAATGACTACTTTTGTTTTTACGAACTCATTTCGTTTTTGGTTTTGTAATAATGGGTAATAGCCCGAGTTTTAAGCCCAATGATAAAGTCAGCTTATTGGATTTTTGTATATAAATAGTTATATACACAGAAACCCTTATATTATATGCAAAAATATATAATAGTATTACTGAACTGGTTTGTTAATGAAGAACCATATAGAAGGAACAAACTCAACAATATGAACTGACGCCTAACATGATACTATGCCTTAAACGTAATTAGACTTCGAATCATATCATCATCATAAGATATACAAAAATGATAGAAGGGAAACTTAAGAAATGTTTAAATTACTGATGTTTCGTGTAACACGTTTTCAATTCCTTCATTACTTGATGGCCCTTTCATTATTAAGCATGAGGGGGTGGGAGTATATTACTCAATTTAAAAAATATGATTGAATTGAGACAAATATGATGATGCGAAGCGGTAATACGCATTTAGCCACCTTTTCGTCTAGATGCACTCTCCCTCTCTCTATCTCCTTTTGTAAAATGAACAAGATGAGGGTGATTCATATTCATTGTTACAGCTGAACAAAGTCCAAGTGGAAATTGATTTGAGTTGGACCTATTTATTTCTACAGTTTCTTTTTTTGGGTTTGAATAATTCTCACTTGTGTTTTTTGAAACAATAAAAGAAAATATTTGGTGTCATTTTCTAATTCGAAGAAAAAGTTTATTTCTTCTCTCCTTTTTTTAAACAAGCAAGTACGAGACGAAAGATCATTTTGGTGATATTATGACTGGCGGCATGATTTGATTGGGATGAGCCTGTCAGGTTCTCCAATGGTCAAATATCGTTTTCTCGATTTTGACCCCCCAAACGATGAAGGCAACTACGTCCAATCTTCAAGGGGTGTTGTATATCTGTTGTTCCAGTACTAACCGTGTGGCTATTTGAAGCCGTTTCCACAACTAAAAAAAACTTTTCTTCCCGCCGGCGAATTTTCCAAGTTTCACCGGCGGTTAGGAAAACATGTCACCACAGATCGAAGCTCAACTCTTGCCAAAGTCGTCTGAGAAGCATGGATCATCATCAACCTCCGGCGTTGTTTTCAACGTGTCCACCAGCATTATCGGAGCCGGTATAATGTCAATGCCGGCGGCGTTTAAGGTTCTCGGAATCATCCCTGCGTTTTTGATAATCGCCATCATAGCTTGGCTTTCCACTATTTCTGTCCAATTTCTCATGAAATCAACACTCGCCGGAGAATCAACTACTTACGCCGGAGTTATGAATGAGTCGTTCGGGAAAACAGGATCCATAGCTGTACAGATTGCTACGATGGTTGCTACTTTTGGATGTATGATTATTTTCTCCATTATTATAGGTAAAGTTATCTGGATCTAGCTAGCTTGTGTAGAGGTCTTGCTACTATTTGAGAGCTTAAGAACAGATTTGCTGAGTTTGGATTTGTGTATGTGTGTGTGTTTCTCTCTCTCTCTCCCTCAGGAGATGTGCTTTCGGGTAATGAAGATGATGGATCTGAACATATTGGAGTTTTGCAAGAATGGTTTGGTTCTTACTGGTGGAACTCGAGAATCTTCGCTCTGTTGTTTATCTACTGCTTCCTCTTGCTTCCTTTGGTCTTGTGCAGACGTGTTGGTAAGTTTCTTATGATCTTGTCTTCTCTGGAATCTTGATACTATGCATGTTTATGAGAGTCTTGATGGGTTTTTTTTTTTCATTTTTTGTAAATGGTTATGTAGAAAGACTGGCCTTTAGTTCTGCGGTATCGTTTCTTCTTGCGGTTCTATTTGTTGTCATAAGCTCGGTGCTGGCCATTTCCGCGCTGGTGAATGGAAAAACGGAGAATCCAAGACTATTTCCTGACTTGAACAATGGAGGATCGTTTTGGAAACTCTTTACAGCTTCCCCTGTTATAGTTACAGCCTTCACGTTTCATTTCAATGGTAAGCAAGAAACCCATCTCTTACACACCAAATCAGTATTGTTTCTCTCTTTGTCATGTTTCTGAGTTTGGTGTTGTGATGAGTAATGTCCAGTTCATCCAATTGGATTCGAGCTCAAAGATCCATTACATGTGATCCCAGCAACTAAGATCTCTGTCATATTGTGCGCTGCTATCTACTTCGCCACTGGACTCTTTGGGTACCTTCTGTTTGGAGATGCAATCATGTCAGATATTCTAGTGAACTTTGATCAGAGCTCTGGTTCCTCCATTGGTTCTCTTCTCAATGACATTGTCAGACTGAGCTACGCGCTTCACCTCATGCTAGTCTTTCCTCTCTTGAACTTCTCGTTGAGAGCAAATCTCGATGAACTCTTGTTCCCTAAGAAGCAGTCCTTAGCAAAAGACACAAAAAGATTCATCGGACTCACTCTGGCTCTTTTGATTTGCTGTTTCTTGTCAGCAATCGCTGTACCAGACATTTGGTACTTCTTTCAGTTCTTGGGATCAACCACCACAGTTTCAATTGCATTTATATTTCCAGCCGCCATTGTTCTAAGGTACATCAGCTCTGTCTGCTTTACTACACCTTTATTAGATAAAAATTCCTGCAAAATCCTTATTTAAGTTGTTTCCTCCTGAATTTGAAATGGCAGGAATGTCCATGGTGTATCAACTTCAAGAGAGAAGCTCCTAGCTGCGATAATGCTTCTTCTTGCAGTTGCTACTAGCATTATTGCTATTTCGACAAATTTATACAGCCTTGCAGCAAACTAGCCTGCAAAAAGTTTTGCAAACAGTCCCCTCCATGATCACTTCAAAGAAATCTGTAAAATCATTAGCATTCCCTTTCCCTAGCAATTATGTTTATATCTTAGTGAAATAGATTTTGTCAGAAAATGCGATGTAATAGCTATACGAAGTGCAATATTTGTTGCTACTTGAATCAGCCAACGAAAAATTGTTACAATTCTTTATAACTTATCTCTTTGCATACCATTATGAATGAACAAATAACATCTGATACAGACAGAATTCAGTACTGAGAATTGAAGCTTGATTTATCTGAATCAGACTATGTATTCCATTCCTCCGGAACAAAAAAAAAATGAAGAGTTCTATAAGATGGAAAAAACGAAGATCAAATGATACAGTTCTTCAAAAGCTTCGCACTATGGAGATACCTAGATTTATGATTCTTGAATTATCCTTTTTGTAAAGAGTATCTCAGTTGGGAGAGACAGCAAGGTTTTTCTCATCTAGCTTCTCAAGTATGTTTGACTTGTATGTTGAAATGTCTGAATCTTCCAAGGAATCTGGAGTCGATTTGACAATAGAAAGTGCTCCATTAGAGTCTAGGAACTTGGCAGCTTCATCTGTAGTCAAGGAGAGTTGAAAATCCAAATGCAATTAGAGTTAAACATGCTCAAGATGATTTAAAGAGTTAAGAACCCTGAGGTTCTTAGATCCAATGAAATCAATGAATATGCAAAAGTAGAAGAATCACAAAAGAACGTGTTCAAACAAGACTTGCCTGATTTAGAGAGAGCAGCAAGAGCCTTGAGAGCTTCTTTCCTTGTCTTGTCATCTTTAGCACCTCCCAACATATGTAGAAGCTCTTGAGCCCCACCCATCTCTACAACCTTCATCCTCTTTTCATCTTTATAGACCAAACCAAATGATTACAGGACATCAGCAAAAACAAGTTCAAGGATGACTAATGAGACTAAATAAGTATATAACAATCCTTTTTCTTTTCAGCGATCCATCAGAGAGTAATTTGAGTTACTATGAGAGTTTACCATCAATGGCGAAACGGGAAAGCCTTGAAGCTCCCATTCTCTTAAACAAGGGATCCTTAACATGTAAAAGCGATATTGATTGCTGAATCAAGTTATCACCTAAGACAGCATGCAACAGTCAGGGAAGTACACATACGACAACGATCCACGATTGAAAAATGTAACAAAGCTATTCCGAACAAGAGATTTGCATACCCAAGTAAGGGAAAAACTGGTATCCGATATACGTAGCTGTCCCAGCAAAGAAAATTTTGAGACACCAGCCTATTTTCCTCTCAGCTTCTTCCTCCAATGTAAGGTCATCTACAAAATGGAGGCAAAGCCAAGGACATCAACACACACAAATCTAAAGGTCTTTTTCTTCTTTGTTGAGTCCAGTTCCACACTCTCTTCTACTCTTATGGATCTTTCCCTCATCATTGAATCTAAGACTAAACTTTGGAGTGAAACATGACAAGCAAAGTTAAGAACATCAACACACCCCAAATCAAAAGACCCTTAACTTCTCTGTTGAGTCGAATTCAAAAGTCTTCAGAAACATAATTTACCACTGTATCTAAGATTAAACTACAAATGCATCAGACAAAGCAACCACTTTGGAGCTAAATTACGAGCAAATGTGAAGGAAATGGAGACTCCCACTACTAGTGTGAAGTGAGAATGGACTTCAATTGTAACCAGTGAACCAAAAGCTCATCAGATTTTCAAATCAATGTACTTCATTCTATCTAAATCTGGTGTAAATTAAAGCCCAGGAGACGATCTCTTCACATATAACACGCAATTGCATCATGGAGAGAAGGAAAAGGAGGCACCTTTCTTGTTCAACGACGAATAATTCCGAGATCGAGGTTGATACGCGTTTCTTCCTCTGCAAAAATGCTGCAAATTTGACTTCACATTAGAGACGAATCGGGTGATGACCCATTAAACCATTGATCAGGAGAAAGCCACAGAAACGCTTAGAAATGGAAAAAGAGAGGAAATTTGGGGAAATTTACGTTGGCTAGGCGAGCAGCAAGAATCCGCATGACTTGTCAATGCTCGAAATCTTCTTCGTCTTCTCGTTGCGTCTGTATCGTTGTTGCTCTCGCTTTGGTCTCACTGGTCCTTCAAATGTTTAAAAAAACCTAAATTTCAGCCAACTTTTATGAAATTTAAGCATTTTCCTAATATCTAACTATATCTTGTAGAAGAAATATTTTAGTCATTGCTTGTTGGTTGCTAGGATCCTTTTGAGAGAGCTTATGAATTTATCTTTGTAAAAAGTCATATTCTTCGAGAGATCAAGTATGATCAAAAGCATATTTCTCTCAAACTCAATGGTGTTTATACGAGTCATTAACCAGTACAAGCATTAGAATCGATGTTGTTGTAACCTGTGAGACAGTCTATATAAACTGGAACTGTCTTGTTTAGCTGAGGTTTCCTTCAATGAAACAAGGTAAAGTGGTAAAGGTAGCACTAGATGTTTCATTGACGTTTTGACAAACCATCGATGAGCTCTTGTTCCTCTAGTCTCGGCGGTGCTAACTGCTTAAGGCTGCTAAATAGAGGTTTAGAGAAACATATGGGCCTAAGAGAGCCTGAACAAATTTAATGGGCTTTTCATGCTTGCATCTTGAAATTTTTATGGACCTATGTTACTTTTTTCTCCATATGTTTTGTAACAACGTGATTACGAGATATTTAATATTTGTTAAAGGAGTTAACTGTCTAGAACACAATGTGTACCTACACGAATACTATACAAAATAAAAATAGAATTATAATTTCTGTATCTTTTTCTCTTATTCAAGCATGTAATAATATATATATATATATTGTACGTACAAAAATAAAATAAATAAATAAAAAATTAGAAAACAAGGAGTGATGTTTTTTTTTTTTTGGTAAAACAAGGAGTGATGTTTGATAGCCAAAAGCCGCCCCCGTGACCTAAATTCTCTTATGATAAATTTTGTCACTTAGAAGAAGAGAGTGGGGCAGATGGAATGGGTATTGTTTTTGTACATTCTTTGACGTTAAGATATCTTTCATTTTTTTATTTTATTTTTTTTTTGTCCTTTTGGTCCCTTTCTAAAAAACTTCAATTACAGTCCATTGTGCAAATTGATCACATCGTTTTGGAGTTTTTAACTAATGATGATGAGTTGTCTTTTAAATACCATGTATGTAACTAGAGAAAGACATGGACAATGCAACATGCCACAAGAATATATACATAAGGTATAACTGATATATGAAATTACTGAAGTCTGGCTAGATACATATGAACCCCTCATACAATGGAAGCAGTCTAATGATCTCTTTACACGTGGTATTAATGTAGTAGCCTCTGCAGTTTTGGATTTGCCAGTTTTTTTGTTTTGTTTTTATTTTGGTCACAAGATTTTTCCAGTTTTTTGTTGTAATCATAAAATTATCAAAAATGTGCAGTTAGGTGCATGGAATGATGTTTTGATTCGGACAAGGCAATACGATACATATGGGGAGAAGACAAACGCTATATAGCTGTCACGAACACGAGACCTTCTTACATTTTTTTTTATATTTTGTTTCTTATATAGAGATTATATCTAAATATATAAGAATGAATATACGTAATAGTAAAATAAAATAAAAAAGCAAATATATATATAGTCGATTAGTTTCTGATACTTGGTCACAAATACGCGATCTTTTTTCCTTTTAGTAACCAATTTGACTGCTAACCGAGCCTTTTCTAAATATAATCGATTTGTAAATATACATGGTCACGTACGCTGTACGCATAAAAAATAATTAGAAGAAATGGTATGGTATCACTTTAAATAATGAACAATTTTTAAATTTTGATATAAGGTGACATTTGTTTCTTTGTGGTCATTTTACTAGAGAAATGTATGCATCGACTATTTTTGTACACGTCAAAATATCACACTAATCCTCTAAAAATAAAACCCTAGCTATTTGTCTTTGCTAATACGTATATACTAACTAGCAAAACAAACTCGAACATCATATTTCTCAAACAATGCAAATTCAATCTTGTATTTAGAATAACGTGAGGGCCGGACACATACTCACTTCTATCAAAGCCGAAGTAAAAGCACGAATAATACGCAGAGCACTAGTACAAATATATATGTTCTGGTAGAATATAAGGGAAGAGACAAAATCTCCTTTGCATCTGTAACTTTATAATGTCTAAACTCTCTCGCTCACGTCCCTTTCTCTCTACTACTCTCTATGACAACAAAACCCATTTTATTTCGCAGCTTTAGAGATTAATAGGTTTTGTTTTTCTTATATCCTGAAAATTCATGCATGTGAATATGTACTTCCCGAAGTGCAAATCACGTGAGTGCCCATTTTCTTTTGACAAATCCGAGCAATTGAAACCCTAAATATCTTTCCTTTCTAATTATTAATTTAATTAGGAGAAAACAGTCTGTAAAAGTAGAAGAATATGAGAAATGGTAGGGATATATCTATGATCAGTCCAAGAAATGAGCTTCCCTATTGTGTAGAGTGACTATTTTTGTGTGGTGATGATGAGTCGGCACACGTGAATTGATGGGTACTTCTTATATGTCCTTAAGGAATATAGACATTTCTATACTCTTATATATTCGTCACATTGCATACATTAAAGGGTTTTGATATATTAAATAAAATATATATAGACATTTGTATACCCTTAGCCTTAATTAGTTGTGAAGTTAATTCTTGCAATGTGATTAACCATTAACCCAAACAAAAAAAAAACATACAACTCTAAGAAGTATTCTAATCTACATTGTAACGTTCGACGTCTTTAATAATTGATTTGTACTCGAGTAAAATCAATGTGACAAAAAAAGAAGACATCCATCATATAAGATTTTGATCTAACAGACCCGGTTTATAAAATAATGGGAAACCAAGTTGTGGGTATATATGGAATGTTTTAGAACAAAGGAGGTAGTGGATAGGTGAAGAGAGAGAGAGAGAGAGAGAGAGAGAGAGAGAGAGAGAGAGAGAGAAGAGAGAGAGAGAGAGAGAGAGAGAGAGAGAGAGATTAGTAGAGAAA